CTCCTCCTCCTCCTCCTCCTCCTTCTCATCTTCCTCCTCTCCGTCATCACCGTCATCATAGTTATGATCGGATGGCACGCTCCATGTATCATCTTCTTCCTCTCCACCATGATCCTCACTGAGCTCAACATGTATCTCAGCACCCAAACAATAAGGATTTTGTGCCATAAAATTCCAAAGCACATTCAAGCTATCATCATCCACAATAGGCATCGCATAATGAAATAAAACACCATTCTGCCATTCTGGAAGACGGTAAGTGAAACCTGTGATTACATCAATGTCTTGTACTGCTTCGTCTCTACGCCGTATTCTCGAAATTAGATTCTCACAAAATTAGTGATATGTGACCCTGGATGGAACCGTCAACTGATAACTACTACCACCTACAAATTTGACGCCCAAATTATCCTCTACTTTCTCCGATTTCCACCGAACGACTTGTTCAAATCTTCTAAAATCACTATAGAAAAACAAACTCACTAATTAAAACTAAACACAATCATAATAGCATTTGAATAATATAATTACAAAAATAAATGTGTCTCTTACCTATTAGCCATTTTTGCAGCAGCAACGAGTGCTCTCCTCTATCTTGGTCGATTTTTTTTGTGGTGCGAATAACTTAAACGAAATTGGCTGGTTTCATAGGGGGTAGCCAGCAATAAGCCAGCGGTGCCACCTTAGTCTTGGGCGCCACCGCATGGGATAATTTCCGACCAACTCACCTATGCCTCAGGCGGTGCCACCTGAGTCTTGGGCGCCGCCACTGTCACATTAATAAAACGATCCAAATAGACAGCAAAAGCGGCAACACCTGAGTCTCAGGTCGTCTCGCCGATTTTTTTCTCCAAAACACAATATTTGTGTCAATACTTTTTAATCCGCCATATTGGTGGTAAACTTAAAAACAAATACAATATTTGTGTCATTGTCCCCTGTCCCGTCTTCACCCATCATCAACGCCTCGACATGTTGAATCTGTTACCAATATCTCACCGCATACTCGAGAAGTCGAATCTCTCCGCCGTCGTCGCCGATCTGTCCTCATGGGGCGTCCAACTGGCAAACGCGTACACGACTATGCGGCAGCGAGGACGAAATGGACCTTCAGCCTCTCTGTTTTCGCCACTGGTACTCGATGCCATCCGGCGCGAGGAAGACGATTTGGACCTCCGGCCTCTCTGTTTTCACCACTCATTTTTCGTTTCCTTAGCAAAAACTCACTTGAAGCAAAAACTGCGGGAAAATTGCAGGAAATCTGCGGGAACTTTCTTTCACAAAAGCCCAATCTTCTCCCCTGTTAAATTCCACCAAACACACATAGACAACCCTCATCTTCCCTCACCAGCCGGATTCACTATTCACTACCGGAGAGCTTCATTACAGATAGTGGTCTGGGACTTCTTCGACCAGGCGCTCGACTTTCGCTTGGTGACCTTTCTGGTAGCGCTGAGAGCAACGGAGGACGAAGTCGAGTTGCTTATGTTGCGGCGTGACTAAGGAGTGGGACGAAGGAAGCTATTTGGGTCTAAGGAGTAGGAGATTGGAGTCGGGGGCGGAGTAGTCGAGGGGAGGAGTGATGGAGTAGGATCAATGCATTTGGGCTTCTGGGTAGTGGAGAATATTTAGATCTGGAAATGGGAGAAGAATGGGGAAAGTGGGGTTTTTTTTTGGGTTGTGGGGAGGATGAAAGTTTTCCTCCGATTTGTGTGTTTTTTGGTTGTTTAAGTTTTCTTCCTCATTTTTTGATAATTATAATAATTATTATTTTTTATTTATTTAATTATATTATTAATATGAGGTGAAAATTGAATAAGATTAAATTTTATTTATTTATTAATTTTTCAATTGTCACATCATTTATTTAACGGTCAACTATAAAAGTTGACCGCCACATAGGATAAAGATAACGGAATTGGACGGAGAGTGACCAAACCTGAACTATTCAATTAATTTTAGTGACCACGAATGAAATTACATATTTTTAGTGACTAAACATGAATCTTTTTAGTAAACTCAGTAACCAAACTTGCAATTTAACTTGGCCTGCTCTCATCACATAGAGATAGAAAGAATAATAATGTCTCTCCAAATATATATCATTCTCATAGCCTCAAACATACTTGTCTATGACAATGATGAAGGCGAAATCGATCAGAAACAATCTGCACACGCGCATTAGAGTAAGGAAATCTGCGGATCTTGAAAAGCAATGATCGATCTGCAACCATGGAGTGGTCATTAATCCCCATCGCTACCATGTGCAACTGGCTACCTACTCAATTGGAGAGGAATGAATCATTCCGCATCTTCCAAATAGAAAAAGAAGCTCTACTTTACTTTACAGGCTCTAATCTGCTACCGTGACATCATCCAAGCAAGTAGCTAAACGAGGTTGAGTTTCAGTGCTGCCTTCTATATGTTGCTTTCACTCAGATACTTATCCCTGAGAAAGGACAAAGAGAGCTTCCATATTTGTTTCGTCAAATATAAATAAACCAGGGGCCATATGTTAACGGTGGGAATTGCATGCTCAATAACTTATTAATGATTGCAAAATGTGACAAGATGATACAAATCACTACTCAAAAAAATTTATATCCAACAACTTGAATAACATTAACAACGCAACATGAATCCAAAAGTAGTATATAACTAATACACAATCCAACTTGAAGCATTTTGGGGGTAAAAAGAAGTCAAAACTTCTCTCTACTGTTGAGGAGGATCTCCTGAGCAGGTTCAGATTATATATTATGTTGACAGGGGAGACTGACTTGTAAGCATGGGCAGAGACGAGGATCGACGTGGAGAAATGATTTCGACGATTGTTGACATATGCTTGCAAGGGTTGTCAGCATATATAATAAACTAATTCCTTCAACCAGCCATTGAGTTGAGCTCCCCCCCCAAAACTAGTTCTGAATGTGCATTATATAGATAGAGGTGCAAAAGGGTGCCATTTTCCTTTTGCCCCTTAGAAGTGGATGGAAATGGGCTTGTAAGGTCAAAATGGTTTTCATGTAATGGAGCAATGTCATAACTGATCAGTGGAAACCAATATGAGGTTACATAAGTGAGAAGGATGATTAAGAAAGCAGCAAAGTCACCCTCTACGCCTCCAAGACCCTTTCAACTGAATAGGAGCCTCTCCTCTCCACTACAAATCATTTTTATGGCAGAGGTTCTAATTGTTTATTACCAATGGCCGCAATCTCCGCTTGAATTCTACTTATGGAGATAAGAAATGAAGCTAATTCATTTCACATTCAAGAGTAAGAACTAAACTTAAATTGTGATCCTTGGCGGGCTGTCGACAGAGTTCTATACTTGAAAGTCAAATCGGCGGCTCTCCTAAGTTTACTTGGTGAAATAATCTTGAACATACGCGTCTCAATCTCTGTCTGTCGCTAAACGAACCTTGTTTGTTAATGAAGAGAAAGGGAGGCTGGGGACTCATAGTGATAAAAAGGAGGAGGAGAGAAAGGTCGGCTATTTGACATTATCTTGGAGAGTACTTCAATTGGTTGTTAAATGTAGGCGCTTTGTAGTGCTAATAAACTTTGGGCTAAACAATATTCCACTTTGGTAGTCATGAGAGCATCCATGCTAGTTGATCAATTTTCTGATAGTTAAAAAGCAGTTTCATCTGTTACTCGTCACCACTCACTATAATTTTTCTCCCGCCAAGAGAGAAATGGGAACTGGGCTGACAAAATTTTGCTTTTCTTTATGCCCAAATGATACTGTAATATAATGGAAACGATCTCCAGGATCTACCCATCCCAATATTTAAACAAGAGAACTAGTGGAAGAGGGGGAAAGCAAAACTCTTAAGGTTAAAGGAGAGAACAGAAAAGTCAAGAACCATGTTCATTAGTAACTAAAATTTTTACAACCTATCTGAAAATTATGCTTTTACACATGATATTAGTCTTCCTGAAAGCTGAATTGACACAGCTATCGGCTTTCCTCTTCCCGCAGTTCGGCTTGTCGGCGGCAGCGGAGGAGGTTAAAGGTGACGGGGAAGAAGGGATCCTGCTGGGACGGTGGTGAACCAGTTGAGTCGACAGTGAGAAGAGATGCGAGATGTCTTCTAGTGGCCTTCTTCTTACCACTCGTTGCTTGCCTTTACAGTAGGAGGATCTGGGGAACTGTGAGTTTGGTGGGAGGTTTTCCTTGTTGCTATCACTCTCATCCAGTAAGCAAGCCGCCATTACAGCTAGGAAAAATGAGAGAGGGGCGGAAGAGAAGGGTGGTTTGCAGTTGCAGGTGAGAATGGGGAGAAGGCAGCATTAGGTTTAGGTTTAAGTAAAGGTTGGAGTGGCAGATTTTGGAGGGGAGATGAAATTATGGGTATGAGATTTGAGTTTCGTTCTTCGTTGGAGCCTTGGAGGGAAGAGGACTTGGTTTTGCTGATTTTCATTTGAGCCTTTTCTTTCTAGTTTCTAGTTTTGGATTTGGCGTTTAAGTTTAGGTTTTTTCATGGTTTAAAATTCTGCACAAGCGAAAAACAGCGCGCCTTGTAGTTTCCACTAAACAGGTGCATTTTATTTTTCCGCTGCTTGCCTTCCCTCCCTCGCTCTATTCGACGGTCAGCCCGCCTATTTGAGCTTTTTCAACTTGGACATGAAGGTTTTTGGGCTTTGTGACTTACCGGTTGTTCTATATGCCATTTTTACCCCCATGATCTGTTGCTCAGTGGATGACAAGCTGGAGAGCAAACTATTCCCCCCACTGTCACGGGATCAATGCTGGTACCACACCCAAACGAACCATAAACCCACCATGATGATACTACCAAAACAAAGGTATTCTAAAATACCTTCTTTTGTAACGTTTTTTCCCGTCCAAAATCTGAAGTACTCTAGAGTCTAGACTTTAGAGTACGTTATTGCTACGACTGCTAGGCACTCAAATAACGGCATTACTATCCAGTTGCAAAGCAAAGTCAGCAGGGGAAAAGTGAAACACTTGAGTAGACTATTTTACTTACCCGAAACCATCATGAACAAGTGAGGAACTTCATTATGTGCCTGGAATTTCAACAGCAAAAGAAGGTGTTGAGCCTACTTAAAACTACAATGCCTTTCAAAGTCATAAGCACAACCTAGGGAGATGGAGGAGGTACCACTTATTGATTCTTAATGCTTGCCCCTAAAATCATTCTTCTCCAAACTTCCCAGGATACCTCATAGCTATGCAAATGTTTCGAATCGTCAAGGAAACGATTTTCTTTTTTCATCTGGAGCAAAACATCACCGTCAATTAATGGATGGAAACAAAAGGATATCTTCTCATCTACCTCTGGGTGATTCAATAGTAGTAGCTTATTGTTGTTAACAATTGATCGAACTGTTAGCTCCTTTGCTTGCTCGTTCCTTTTCTTCAGCGTATTGCAAAGCTACAATGATAAACAACATATATTAAGATCGTCTTTGAGGAACTTAAAATTTGTCCAATGGAGATTCCACAGCTAGCACAATAATCTACAGCATCCTTATTAACTTACTTCATTAAGCTTTCAGCCATACTCCGAAGCCATCTGAATTCGGTTAATTTTAGGTTCTTCCATGTTCACTTCTTGAGGAGCTGTGAATCTAGAGATAGGCTAGGCAGGCTTCCAGATTCCTTACATAATTCATTGTCAGTACTGTTGACCTACCAGAAATATAAATTCTCTTTTAGGTTAGGTATCATGCAATCAAGCTTACAGAAGTACATATTTCAGAGCATGCACCTCTTTGTTAAGCCATTATTATACCTGATCTCCAACAATGCCTATAGTCTGTTCATCGAACATTCCGCAGAGATGTGGAGTGATATTAACTCCTATTTATTTATTATCTATGCTACGCTAGATGTTCTATGGATACAAGTTGTTTACTGCCCCAAACTCTTATTTTTTTTATGCTGGGCCTCGAGAGCTATTTGTTTCCATCTCTCTCTTTCTACCTGTAATAGGTATTGGTATTTATCCGGATTTTATTTTTTCACTATCAGTTGACAAGATCGAAACTCTTTTATCTAATTATTTTTATAGTTTCTAGATTTTTTTATAAATAAAACAACAAAACAGAAAAAAGAAAGTTTATGTTCTTGTAAAAAGAAAAAATAATTATACAAAGAAAAAAATGAATTTAACTAAAAAAAGGAATCGTAATCAAGTTAGCACACTCCCATCACATAAATCTCTAACCTACAACAGTACCTCACATTTCATCCCGTGATTGAGACAGGCATTTATGGGGGTTCGATGGCACTAAATCTGCATTAAATGCCTGCACATATGGAAGTTTGACTATCTTAATGAGATATTGTTTTTTTTTTTTGACAGTGGTAAAAGTTTGTTGCTTTTATTCCTCAACCCAATTGTTCAGAAACATTATTAAAGAAAGGATCTAAGATATTTAGAACATTAATCCAATCTTCTGGCAATGATCCCTGCTTGAAAGATCTTGCCACCCAGTCAGCTCGAAAGTTTTTCTTCCTAGGAAAGAAAACAACCTTAATTCTTGGCTCGCCCTCAAGGATGGCTTTCAAAACGCTGAGCCTTGCCGCACAGGTCTACGGCCATGACTCTGGTGGTCTTTCCAAAGCGTTCATATGGGAGATACAATCTGATTTAACATGGACCATTGCGTTCAATCTCTGTGCAGCCAAAATAGCTTCCTGAATAGCCATAGCCTCCACTTCAATTGGTGAGGAACATAAGACAGGTCCAGCCGCTCCATCGCAAACCTGTCCATGGTCATTGAGTATCACATAACCATACGCCGCCTCCTGGGATTCATTCGAGAATGAACCATCGCAGTGAATCTCAAAACTGGGATTGCTTGGCGGTGGAGCAGGTGAGTTCTGGGGGGGGGGGGTAGTGCTGGTCCGCGTGTAGTCTCTGCTGCCTTGGTGCTTTCGGACACTCGGTCCACTGTTTCAGATCACGAGCAGCGTTGGAGTATGATCGGGGTGGCCAAGGATTTACGTTGTCGAACACCTTCTCGTTTCTTGCCAACCAAATAGTCCATAAGAGGTAAATGATGAAGTGAGATGCTTGTTCTGTGACTCCTTTGTGGACCTGAAACAGCCAATCAAGAGGGTTTGTTAAGGGAGGTGGAGTGGTAATGTCGGGAAAGCATGCTTTCCACGTCTCTTGGGCATGGCCACATTCAAATAGGCAGTGGTGAATGGTTTCCGGGCAGCCCGTGCAGACTGGGCAATCCGGGTTTGGCGAGCACTTTCGGGCTTTCAGCTTTGATTTTGTGGCCAACGCTCCCTTCGCACATCTCCACAGAAAAAATTTCATTTTTGGAGGGAGTGGCAACCCCCACATCCACCTCCATTTTTCCTTCTCAGTGGTAAGGGTGGGATTGTCCTGTTCCACTGTAGTCTGGCTTCTGTTGTGAACTGACCGGTAGGCCGAACCCACCGAGAAGCATCCATCAATCGTAGGTTTCCAGGCCCAGAAGTCGGCTGCCTCCTGATGGCCGATTGGAATTCTTCGAATTGCTTCCCTCTCTTGAGATGATGTGAATCGATTTAACCTCTCATCATCCCAGATTCGGTTCTGGTGGTCGATCCATTCCGCCGCCATTACTGGTGGCGGGTTGTGTCTCTGTAACCTTTGTCCCTGTAAAGTTCGCACCCATGGATCTTGGAACACCCTCGTGCTGGAGCCGTTGCCAATCACTCTTATGACATCCTTCTCAAGCTGCCCTTTAGCAGTCCACAGGCTGCTCCAAATCCACGATGAACTCGCCCCTCTAGAGGCAGAGAGGAAGTCGTTGCGTGGGAAGTATAAAGCCTTAAGTAGCTTAGCCCATAAACTCTGTGGGTTCACCAGTAGCCTCCAGCATTGTTTCATTAGCAAAGCAATGTTGAAATTCCTAAAAGAGCGGAAACCCAGGCCTCCCTCTTCTTTACTCTTGAGAAGAATTTCCCCTTTGCACCAGTGAATGGCCTTTCGCTGAATGGACCCTGACCAGAAGAATCTTCTTACCAAGGCGTCCATCCTGTTCGTAATTGAGTTTGGGAGAAGGAATAAAAACTTGATATAGTTCGGAATTGCCTGTAACACTGCTTTGATAAGCGTCTCTTTTCCTCCCGGTGAAAGTAGTAGACTTTGCCAGTTTTCTCCTCTGTTTTCCATTCTCTGGATGAGAAATGAGAACGTTTCTTTTTTGGAGTTTCCCCATTCTGTTGGTACTCCAAGATAGTTGGAGTGGTTGTTTGTGTCCGAGAAACCCAAGACTTCCCGGATCCTTCCTCTCTCCTCTTCCGGAGTGTTTGCACTGAAAAACACGGATGACTTCTGAGCGTTAATTTCATGTCCCGTAATAGCCCCATAGTCTTTAAAAATCCCCAAAATCGTGGACCCTTCTAGCGCCGAGGCTTTACCAAAGATGACCGTATCATCCGCAAATAAGCAGTGCGTGAGCTTTGGACATCTCCTGTTCAACTTCAGACCTTGCAAATCATTCCTGGCCGCTGCTTTATCAATTAGAAAAGTGAGGGCATTAGACATCAAAATGAAAAGGAGAGGGGACAGGGGATCTCCTTGGCGGATTCCCCTCGAAGGGGAGAAATCCAAAGTTGGTTCTCCATTGAAGAGGATTGAGAAGCTGACGGTTCTGATGCACTCTCTCACCCAGTTGCACCACTTCTCATCAAAACCATATTTGGTAAGCAGCAGATCCAGGCAATCCCAGTCAACCAGGTCGTACGCTTTTCTCATATCAAGCTTAAGCATCATATCTTTTTTATTGCCCACTTTATGTTTCTTAAAGTGGTTTAAGACTTCATGGACAATAATGATATTGTCCTGAATCTGTCTCCCGCCTGTAAAAGTTGCCTGTAGTTCTGAGACCAACAGAGGCAGCCAAAGCTGCAGTCTGGTTGTCATAATCTTGGTGATGATCTTATACCTGAAATTGCAGCAGCTGATTGGTCTGAATTGAGAGATCATCTCTGGAGACTCCGTTTTTGGAATCAAGGTAATGAACGGTGTCATTCCAGCCCTTCTCCATCTTCCCTGTGGTAAAGAAGTTCCTCACTTCTTCACACAGTCCTTCCCCCACAATTCCCCAGTATTTGCGGAAAAAGTAACCCGGGAACCCATCCGGCCCCGGTGCCTTTGAGTGACCGAGTTGGAATGTAGCTTTTTTTATCTCCTCATTTGTAATGGGTGCACAAAGGGCTGTGTTCATTTCCTCTGTGACAATAGAGGGAAATTCGTCGAGGAGGTGCTCCATAGGTTGAGTGTTGCGTCGTGAGAAAAGGTCCACGTAAAACCTCCTGCAATGTTCCCTGAGCACATGGTCATCCTCCATCCAGTTCCCTGCCCCGTCCCTCAATTTGAGAATACGGTTGTTGTTCCTGCGTTTGACCGTGGAGGCATGGAAGAATGCCGTATTCTGGTCCCCTTTTTGGAGCCAGTTGATACGTGATCTTTGGGCCCAGAACTCTTCTTCAGCTTTCCATAAAGTTGCCAATTCCGCCGTAAGAGATTTCTCCTCCTCCACCTCAAGCTGAGATCGATGAGATCCTTGAATTATTGTCAATCTTCTTCTTATATCTTCCTCCCTCTCCACGCTTTTCCTCCTTTTTTCCTTTGCCCAGGTTTGTACTTCTCTTGCACACACTGTCATTTTTTCTTCAATCTTTCTCTCCGTCCCCCATATGTTGTGGACTATGTCAGCACATTCATCCGAGTCTCTCCATCTTTTGTCAAACCGGAATGGGGTTTTTCTCTTCCTTTCCCGACCCTGCAGATCGAGCCTAATTGGACAGTGGTCCGATTGTATCATTTCCTCATGGAACACCATCGCTTTGTCAAACTGGATTCGCCATGAGACTGAGCAGAGAGCTCGATCCAATCTCTCTCGGATCAAGTTGCTGTCTTGGTGTTTGTTGGACCAAGTAAAGATGTTACCCTTGAATCCCAGGTCAATAAGTGAGTTTTGGGCAATGAAATGTTTAAACGGTTGGACGTTCTCATTCCTTAGAGGGCATCTTCCCTCTTTTTCAGCATCACACAGAGCTACATTGAGGTCTCCTATGATTAGCCAAGCCTCGTCGGATGGTTGGCGAATACTACTAAGCTTGTCCCAGAACGCCCTTCTACATGAGGGGGATGCTGGGGCATGTACAAACGTACAAAAGAAATTCTTACTGCCATAGGTGATCACACCATCTATATAATTCGGGCAGGAGTCAAGGATTTGAAAACTGACTCCTGCTTTCCACCAGAGGGCTAATCCGCTACACCCTTCAGCTGGTTCGACATACACCTTCTCCGTGAAAATTGTCTTCCTTCTCTCTTTCTCCATGAACTCCCGGTTCTTCTTAGTCTCCATAAGAAAAAGGAAAGACGGGCCATACTTGCGGCAAAATCTTCCGCAATAGCTTCTTGCAAGGGGTTGGCCGAACCCCCTGCAGTTCCAGCTCACCATCATTCGGTTGGAGGTGGCTCAAGGCGGACCACCGCTGCCTCTGGGTCTCTCCCTCCTTCTTCACTCGATCCATTTTGGTCTGGCTCCCTCGCACCAGTTGATTTCCTATTTATTCCCAGCCTCTTCCTCTGTTTCCTTGTTTCGCGCAGACCTGGTGAGAAAAGAAGACAATCAGAAGAAATGTTAGTGAGTTGGTCCTGCATCTCCTTGGCCGCTTCATCTTGGGCTCGCTGATCAGTCTTCCTCTTCTTTTCCACTCGGCCCAAGTTTCTCTCATAGTTAAGCATTGCTTCCTGGACCAGAGTCAAGTGATGGGAGTATTGGCCTGTTGGCCCATCCGCCAGCCCCAGTAGGTTAAGGGTCCTTGTTGGGCTTGCCTGCCCAAGCCCACTTCCGGATGCCCCATCAGCCTGCTCTCCCTCTGCTGACTCCTCTCCCTCATTCAAGTCGAGGGCTTTGCCTAGCCCTGCTGCTACTTCTTCCATGTCCTCTTCCAATCGCCGCGGCTCCGTGGCCTTTCCAAAAGATGTGTGGGGGAAAAAGTCTGAGATCCTGCTGCCATCTCTGTGGATTCCCTGTCTGCCTTCGAAACCCGGGGGGCAAGAAAGTCGGAGAGTGGTGGTCTGCTGCTGACTGTCAGCGTCATGGGACTCCCAAAGTCTGCCTCGGGGAGCGAGTCGTTCGTCAGTGGTGGCGACAATCGATCCGTGTCCGACCGTGATATTTCCGGTTGTCCTCCGCCTGAAGAACGACGGTGGTGGGATGCAATCCGGCGAGTCTGGCCCAGCTCGCAGCGCCGCGGTATAGAGTCCCGAAGCTTCGATTGAAAGTCCTCTTCTTCGGTTTTCTTCATGGGTCGCACAGTTGTGGATGAAGTGGCCGATCTTGCCGCAGAAGTAGCAAAGATCGGTTACTTTTTCAAATTTGAAACCTACCCAAACCGATGCCTCCCCCAGCGGGTATTCAAAACCAGTGGGTATCGCTTTCTGCAGATCCACCTCCACCATTGCTCTGACGAATCTTCTCCAACCTCTGGTCTCAAGACCCGATCTATCGACCTTGTGAAACTGGGGGAAGATAAAGGATGAAATTGCCTGGATTGTTGTAGCTTCTCTGAGAGGTTGGGGCAGATTGTGAAATTGGACCCACAGCGCCATTGTGGGTATCTCCATCTCTTGCGGAGTGACAACTCCGTCCCACTTCTTCAGGGCTATAAGAGAATTGTTGATGTTCCAGGGTCTGGTGTCCCAGACTGCATCTCTCGCCTTTTCAGAGGTGAAGGAGTACACATAGAGGTTCTTGGCCTCCCTTTCAGCTTCAATTTCCCCGAACTCCTTCCATCTCGCCTGTGCAGCACTCTTAGCTTTTGGAGGTGGGATTGGGATTTCAGTCAGCCATTTCCCCAGGAGCATGGCCATCCCTCTGCCTCTACCTCCCACTACTTGAGGTTGGATGTTCAGCACGAGGTGGCCTTTCTCGGTGGTCTCACTCACTTGGCTGGCCTCCATGATTCTCCAATGCACAGCTGGTAAGAAGAGGTAGTGTTTGCGGTGTTTGGTACTGGGGGATGGTATTTCTTCTTTACTGTACGTGATTTTTCTTCTTCCCCATTTGCTTCCTTTTATAGCTCTTGTTGGAGTGTTGTTGAGCTGGTGTTTATCCTTCTCTTTATGGCATCCATCAAATCCTGCCCTCTTTTGCCGCTTCTGCAGGTGCTCCAGTTTCCTGATCTGGGATTTTCCGGAGATTTTCTGCTTTCCCCTGGTTTGATTGGTGACCTGCAATCGCTTCTCATTAAGGAAGGCATCTCTTGTAGCCTTCTTAAGAGGGCGGATTCGTGTCTTTCCTGGACTAGGCCGGCTGCTGATGCAACCTTCTGATGCATTTTCCCGGGATATGCGTCTTCTTAAAGGCCTGGATTTTTCTTGATCATAGTGAGGCAGCCCTCTGATCTCCTTCTTAACTGCTGCTTGGTGGTTGCTGCTGTATCTCTTAGTGCTAGGAGATTTGTTGGTAAGCCTTCTTAAAAGCCTGAGTTTACCTCGATCAGGAGGAGATTTCCATCTTCCTGCTGCAATAAACACCTCATCCCTGTAGCTCGAAAGACAGCGGGGTTGCTCTGCAGAGGGATTTTTTAAGCAGGTCTTCTTTCTTTTCAGTTGTAGAAACTGGTTCCGATGTGCTAAGCTCCTTCCTTGTTGTTGTTTGAGCGTTCCAAAAAAGGTAGCAGGGAAATAGATTAGTTCCAGAATGGAACTATCTAGTTGGGAGCTTTTTGGTTTCCGAAGCATGGTCTCCGCGTTTATTTTTCACTGTTGAGAAGGAATATAGAAATGACATCCTACCATGTTGATAATGATGGGTAGTAGATATGATTATATCATGGTAATATGAACTGTTTCATGTTTAATGAGATATTGTTGGAGCAGCAAGAAAAGAAAGCATAATTGGAAGACCAAGAAAGAAAGGAACCTCTGTGTATCTCTTCAATAATTTCTTCCTCTGCTCATGGGTGACAGGATGAAGAATTTTCAAAGATGCGGCATTTTGTTGTGCTTGTGTGATTTTGGAAAAGCCTTTCAAGGTTTTGTTAGGCGCATTTGGGTGATGTCCTTTTACATCCACTAGCAAGGAAACCCGCGCTCTGCGGCGGGGAGTTCGTATTGGAAAAATGTGGAGTTTGCTTTGGAAATTGACATATTTGTGTGCCCATGAGTAGATTGAGTAGAGAACATTTGATTTAATAAAAAACATATGATTTGTACATGTAGAAACTTTGCACTGGAATTAAACATTAGGTACATAATATTATTTTGTATTGCAAAGCGGGTGTTGCCATACTAAAGCAGCAGTACATATTGGTTGCTGTCAAATTGATTAATTACTGTTTTGCATTGAATGTGATGTAAAAGAGTGTCATTTGGTGATGGTGGGGCAACTCAAAGTTATGTAAATGCTTGTTGAAAGTGGTGGAGATGTTGACATTGCCCCCTTAAAAATGCAGTATAAAAGTAGTGCTAATTAATGAGCCAGAAGAGTTAGAAAGCAGGATCACGTGTTATGCAAGTACCCACAAGAGTAGAGGCAATATGGTAGATAGGTGATAGCAAAAGTCTTGCATGTTAACATTTGTTTCCAGACTAATGAAGTAGAAGTTTTTTGTTCGGTAACATCTTAAGACACTTTTTATTTCACAGGTAGGGTATTTTTTCATGGACACCGTTAATCTATGCTGGTAAGAATCCACTGGCGTGGATGATGATGCTGCTGGGTGGGTGATCCATGTCTGCGTTGCAGTTTGCTTGGGCTATTGTTGAAGCTGGTTGTGGCCGACTACAGAAAGGATAGTAAACTCCAAGGGGTCTGAGGCAAATATCCAGGCTTCGGGAGTTGAACGTCAAATGAAAACCAACGTCCATTCATGGCAACAATTTCTTGAGGGAAATGTCCATGCTTTTGAGGGCAACGTGCTGATAGTTCGTCAACAGCAACTCCAAGCAAATAATCAGCGGTTTTTTCAAGCATAATGAAGCATGCGGAACCAGTAGTGTCCCCCACCGCTAAATGGATTTTGTAGCTGGAAAAATGTGTCAGAAATTAAGGGTTTAACTGATTTTGGAACTCGTAATGAGAAAAACTGTTTGATGCTAAACTGACCAATTTTGGGTTTCCTGAGGTATCAATTGGCCATTCTCTTCACACCAAAAATCAGCAGTACCTGGAAACTCCCTAGCTGTATTAGAACAAAATGCACATCCTAAGTAAAACCATGGTCGTGAAGACTCTGCCGAGAAAATGTGGCGGAAATGGTTAGTGTAGTCTGATTATGGGATCAATTCGAGTTCAATTGTTATAAGTTAATTAATTATTTTTTTTTTGATAAGGGTGAAATAATATTAATAACGAAAAAGACTGAAGATTAAGAGTTTGAAAACACAACCAGAACCAGCAACCAGCAAACTACGAAATAAACTCAGCACAAACTACTGCAGATAGCTACCCTCCAAGTGCACCAATAAAAGAAAATGCGCCAACGAAACGTATCTGAAAAAAGAAAGAGCTCTCAAACTTCTGAACCTTGAAACTCCCAAAGTCCTTTCAGCGACCAACCTCACCACAAAGCCCTGTCACAAACAGAAGTCAACACAAACACGGGAGCAGAAGCTTAGCAAGGCACATCGGCATCCTCACGGTCTCCAATTTCAGCTCCAACCGGAGGCAAAGCGGGAGGTTCAACATTCCTGGGAAACAGGCGAAACTTAATATTTTGCAGCCAACAGCTCGCTTCCTCCCTACCAACCTTCTGAGCAGCACCCAACCATTCGGCAATACTGTAAGCAATCCGGAAAACAACAACTTGACCTAAGACGAACTCTTCCTTGAAAATTCTGGAATTCCGCTCTAACCAGATACGCCAACAAAAAGCATGAAGAGAAACCATCGTGCACCACTCCTTGGAATTGGACGGCTGTCGGCTAGGCCACCTTCTTATCATCTCTGTGATGTCATTACTAGTGGTCTTGAGCTCGACGAAGGCTGACAGAATCCGCCAAACCTCCTTGGAGAACCTGCAAAGAAGGAAAAGATGATCGATTGTTTCCTCCTGATCACCACACAACACGCATCGACTCGGGAGAGCCCAACCCCTCCGCTTGAGGGCATCCTGAGTAAGGATCTTCTTTTGGAACACTATCCACAAAAACACACAGACTTTTTGAGGAACCGCAGGCTGCCACACGACTCTGTAGGGAAAAGAGGATGAGCCAGGAAACTTCTCCTTGATGTACTCGCCATAGAATGAGCGAGCGGTGAATCCTGTGATTGGAGAAGGACTCCAAACAAGTCTAGAAGGGCCTGCACAGAAATTGTCAGTTGATAATCCATTAAGTAGATTCAAAAGTGAAACTCTCTCTCTCTCTGCTCCTCCCCTCAAGGTAAATCGAAGAGGAATATCCCAAGAAACTCTCCCCTCTGAAAAGTTGATAGCATCAGAAACCCGGCAGTTAGGCACCTCAACCGCAGCTGCGACTCTCGGAAAATCATCAGCGAGCAGTCTTCCCTTAATCCACACATCATGCCAGAGAGATACACTAGATCCAACACCTGCTTCAACATACGCAAATCTCCAAAACATATTCTTTGTCTTAATAATTTGTGCCCACAGGCTAGTGCCAATAGGACACGATCGCTTCCCCGACATCCATTCTGAAGAAGCATTGGGAAACTTGATCGAGATAAGATTCCTCCACCAAGCATCCCGCTCATGAGCGAAACGCCACCACCATTTACTCAAAAGGGACTGATTACGAAGTCTCAAATCTGAAATCCCCAAACCCCCATATCTCTTTGGTGCTTTACACGAATCCCAGGAGACAAGGTGAAACTTCTTCTCTCCCTGCCCACCAGACCAGATAAAATCCCTTTGAAGTTTCTCCAAAGTGTCAATAACAGAACATGGGGCGCTGAAGAGGCTGAACATATAAATAGGTTGGCTAGCCAACACCGCATTACACAAAGTAATGCGCCCAGCCAATGAGAGATACTTCCCCAACCAAACCTCCAATCGCCGACGCACTTTATCAAGAACATTACTCCAGATTGTTGGAGAACCTACAAAAAAGGCTCTATGGTTAGAAACAAATTCGCAACATCGGGTTCAACTCGCTTTAACTGGGTCGAGGGAATGATGATAAAACTCGCCACAAAATCCAAAAACAGAAACCCAAAACATTTGCAAGGTCGACACAACGAAAAATTTGCAAGGAAAGACCAATCAAACCCGTGTTAAATACGGCCGAATACAATTCGGTAACACAGGGTTCAACTTGCTTTAACCAGTTCGACATTAGGTCGAAAGGAATGGACATGGACTTAAGCTTGCAAAACTCGTTGAGCCAAAATTCGTCAACACCGGATTCAACTTGCTTTAACCGGGTCGATGTAGGTCGAATACCGATTGATTTGGGTTCAATATGGATTCAATTGTCATATGTTAATTAATTAGAACCTTAATGTAAAGAACTCTTTCAAGTTTTGGTTAATTTAATAAATTTAAGCGTGAAAAACTCATTGTTGATGCAAAATTCGTCAACATCGGGTTAGGCTCGCTTTAACCGGGTCAAAGTAGGCCGAATGTCAATTTATTTGGGTTCAATTTGGATTCAATTGTCATAAAAGAATTAATTAAAACCTTAATGCAAAAAAGGCACCACAAACTTTGGTTAATTACAAAAAGAACCCTTGTGACGGGACAATATGCAATAGTAACTTGGCTACTTGTTCTTTTACAGAGATAAAATAATAATAACTATTGAAACCGCGCTCCGCGGCGGGATTTGTAAGTTTGCCAACAAATTTAACTACATGTTCTTATGTGTAAACTTATCAGTTGCATCCATATATTCCAATTAGATAACAAATGCTGGACACAGATGGTAATAATCTAGTGTAAGTTGCAAGAAAATTGCACTGAAAAGATGGTTACGTGGTTGTGCAATAATTCATTCATGTTTTGCTATGAAACGATAAGCTAACCAAAAATGTAATATCCAAATCGAGCTCTACTCGCAAGCTATATCACAAAAGTAACATGGGTATTGTGAATAAAATGTAGAGTCAGTGAAATCGACAAAACAAACTAAACAAAAATTGTAAAAGTAAGACCAAAAGATAATCCTTCCCAAATGAAAGAAGGACACCATTGTCAACTCAGACTTCAACTTTGCACAAACCAGATTCCAAAGACTAAATAAATCTATAAAAAAACACATAATATAGATTATCTGTAAACAGGAAAATATGAAATTGTAGCAGTCTAAAGAGTACTCAAATCCGTGGAATTTGAGTTTCCCCATTGAATCCTCACTGTTTCCTTGCTCCTGTTTGCCATTCAATGGCTTGTCATTCTTTCTTCTTTGGCTTCTTCTTTTGTATCGTCCCCTTCCTCATGAGAAAAGAACACTCATAAGCTATATTCGAATTTGATTTCCACTACTGATTCGTGAAAGAAAGACTGCTAGCTAAATTTAGAATGAGGTCAGTTTAGAACAGGTAAAATAATGCATCATTGAAACCTCTAACAATCTCCCCATCCAAGCATGCTAACACCATCTAACATTGCTAAAAAAAACTCATTTCAATCTCGATCATTCGTGTCTATATGATATCCTAGATGCTTAAGGTTGCTAATACGCGGCAAGATAGGATGTTTGGTTCCAAATGGCTTAAAACAACCGAACAAAAATCTCGAAAACAAATCAAACAAAAGAGAGCATAAATTTGCTCCCCTTCGTCCTACCTATGTATCTTGTTTTAGACACTCTTTGATGAAACTGAGGCCGCAAACACTTTTATAATTAATTAGGGTAAATAGCATAAGAGAAAAGAGTTGTACCATCAAGTGGCACAGAGAAATAAAATCAAAACAACGGGGAATTTAGAAACACATTATTCCATGAAGGACATTATACCGGTGGAGTAACTATAGATCCCTTCCCACAGATACCATGAAGGCTGCGAAGGAACCAGAAACACAGTATACTGCAGCTGCAACACCAACAAACATTGGGAAGTCTGAGATAAGCAGGGATAAAAAGACCTGCGGTGTTGAAGAACATATATATTCAGTGATCTAATCGGTCAAGAAAGGAGCTGAAATAAAAGAACAACCCAAAGTACAAACAGGCAGGGAAAACACAACAAATGAGAAAAACAAGAAGAGTTTGTAGTGTCGGCTAGACTTGCGCTCTTCCATGTTTAGCTTAAGTGTTTATAGTAAACAAAACAGAATATTAATATGTTGCTAACAACATACAGAGGGCCAACAATGATGCTAGCAAAAAGTCAAACTGCATGGGGTTGAAACTCAAGATTACTCTAGAGAACGTTTGGATCCCATGTAGGATACATCGAATGTGATCTGTTAAAAGCAATGCAAGAAGGAAAAGTAAGTGAGAGTGAACTTTCCAAAGAAGCAGATGTGCAAAGATGCAGCAAGAGAGCAAACTTTGGTGCTATCAGGTTCCAATGAAGAAGTTGTGTAAGGAACGGGCAAATTCATCCAATCTTATCGGAGGGAACCAGTTGCAAAGTGGAACTCACATTACCTGGTCAGTTGTAGCCTGTAGGCGTGGCTTCAGTACACTTTCCCCGACCAACGCACAATCTCTGGTTCCCTCTGACAGCAAGCAACCCAGTTCCACTATTCAACCGACCATTAAATAAAGCAACCTTAACTGAGGTAGAGGCCTTCGATGGTAAGCAGAGAGGCACTTGCACAACAAAACTTCAGCGTCAGAGGAACGACAATTCTACTGCATAAATGAGCAACAAAAGCAGCTGGGATGAACTAATAGTAAAATGAAAATTATGAACTGTAAACATAAAACACCCAGATTCGTGGAAGTGAGCAATACCAATCAAAGAAAACCTGATTATAGTAACTCAACCACAAACGAACCCGAAAAGCTCTGAAACCCATTTTTGTGGAAATAGAAAACACGAAAAAAATGAACAAATTAAAAAAAAACACATACCCTATTTTCTACCAAGATCGTGGAGAAGGACTGTGAACCAACTGGTGCTAACTGGCACCGGCGACCCATGAATCGAGAGATCCTTTGATCGTCTTGAGGGCATCGCTTCGTGAACGGGACTTCTCTCCTACGTGACCTCCATCATTGTTCAGGTCTTCTTCTTCGCAGAGGCCCCCGATGGCAAGCAGAGAGGTACCTGCACTCTGCCTAAATGAGCAAGAAAAGCAGTTGTGGTGAACTAATAGTAAGATGAAGAATTAGGAACTAAAAACAGTAAACACCCATATTCGTAAGCAATACCAATCAACGAAAACCTTATTAGAGTAACTAAACCACAAACGAACCAGAAGAAAGGCTCTGAAACCCATTTTCGTGGAAATAGACAACAGGAAAAAGGAAAAATTCAACAACAAAAAAAGACATACCATATTTTCTACCCAGACCGTGGAGAAGGCCTGCGAACCAACCGGTGCTAACTGGGCGTCAGCGATCCATGAACAGAGAGATCCTTCGCTCATCTTGAGGGCATCGCTGACTTCTCTCTGCGTGACCTCCATCATCATTCGGGTCTTCTTCTTCCGCCGCCGCCATGGCCAGAACAAAGTAGTAAAAGAAGAGGAGATTTGGGGCAAAGAAATCAGACAAGAAGAGGATCTTTGGTCATATCAACATCCAACCAATAAACATGAGAAAAAAAGAAGGCAAGCTGAGACGGAACAGATCGACAACCCCGAAACATTCTATAAGCAAGCATCTAGCAACTATCGTTCGGCCCGGCTCATTCTTGGATCAAAACCCATATAACCATTGGTCAACTGAGAAAGGGTTCCCCTAAGAAAAACCAAATGGTTGAAAAAATTATTGACAAAGTTCAGAGCCTAGATATGAAAATAGGTAAAGAAGAATACCCTAAACCGAGATTAACGAAATAGAGAAAATAAATTTATCTGGCAACCTCTTTTACCTGCTTTCTTTCTTAGATTTTTGCGCATTTTGTTTTGCATGTCCTAGGTCTGAACATTTGGATAACATTTTTTCAGTTTACAGGTGAGCATGTTGGACATAACCTTTCACCATCTTTTCACAGTCAATTTGTTCCCTTGAGTGTAATTTGCAGACCAATAGGAAGAGAGACAAATCGATGTTGGTTATACATTATGCATTAAAAGGGATGGATTGTTTAGAGAGCAAAGAGAACTATGTATACAAAATATTACTCAACAACAAACTTATAAAGCAAGCAAGGTTATTTTGTCTAGTTTTCTTTTCCTGAATTCCCTACAGACTCAGCCACATTTGATTTTATTTGGCCAATGAAAGTACCTGATATTGTTGATTCTCAAAGGGATGCATGTTTCTATGTGTGTATTTCATTTGTCCTCTTCTCAAAGCCATCCATCTCTTGCTTCAGCAACAGTTGTAAAATAAACTTGACTGGAAAAGTTTCAATCACTCTGCGAATTACAAAACAAAGCAACACTCAGAAGTTCCTCTCCAAACTTAGAGCAGAAGCATGGTGTAAGATGCAAAACTAAAGATGAACCTAACCGGTGTGAATGTTCACTAAGAACACTTGAAGAAGGCAATGGAGTTGCCTAACTCCTGCAACAGAACAACCAACAAAGTTGAAAACGAAGTTGATGGTCGCTAACATGTGAATCAAAATCTAGTTCTCAAATGGTCAAGTTGATAGGCCAATAAAGTGATACCATACCTCTGACCATGTCTTAGGAGATGTAATTTTTCATTCAGGATATCTCAAAACTGGAACCCTGGTAATAATAAAGATAAATTAGCAAAAATAACAGCTACCGCAGCACATTTCATTAGCATGTGATTGAGTATTATATACTCACTCTGACATGTACGTGTAAATGAATGTCAATGATTATATACCCACTCCGAGAACAATTGGAGCTGAAACCCTTACTTACCATCGAGAAAAAAGTCCAAAACATCATTTAACAAAGTACTGTGAATCAATGCTATAAAGTCTTACTTCCGTCAGTTTTGCAGTGTTGTAAACTTCAATCACTGCAAAAAGACAACACTAAATATAAGTAAACTTTAGTCTCACTCACTTTTCTGCTCTCATTATTCTAATAAAACAAAAACACCTATAACCAAGTTATATTGTTAAATCTTGAGCGAACTTCAAGGCTAAAGAAAAGAGAAATCAGGCTCAAGTTATGAAACTCTAAAATAACTAAATAGTTTTGTTATGATCGATGCAACTACTCCTTTTACATATGCGAATTGAGGCTTATATACATAAAATAACTCATCCTCACCTTCTTTTCCATTTCACTTTACATAAATCTCTTTATACCTCCTTCTTTTTATATGTGTCATCTCATTCTGAAAGGAGTCTGATCTGTAAGCTCGCACCCAGCATTTGGATTCTGGGATGGCAACTTGGAGGAGCTTTTCCTGGAGGTGCACATATTTGAGAAGAAAAAGGATTCATATGAAATTGTTAGTATGTTACAAACAGACTCTTCTGTCCTAATCAACATCCTAGGTTTTATAAGTAAGAGGAAGCACAAAATTTATAAGCTCAACAAAAGTCAGTTCCAAGAGAGAAATCTGATTCACCTAGACCACCAGCAAACATAGAACTTCAAAGTTGTTGCATTAAGACTTTAACACTTTTCCATCTAGAACCAAACACAGAAAGACCCGGTCTGGAAAACTAAAAAGAGTTATGGAGAATTCACCTCGCAACCATAAAGAAATACTTTGTAAGTCATCGCGCCCTTCTCAAATGGTTCCTTGCTTCCTCCCTTAAAACTTCATTCAGCTTCTTGATCACTCTTTGTTGGCATCCTCGTCCCCTGTACCAATGGTTTGCATCCTGCATAGCCTCACTCACCCCTCACAACCAAGATTCCTGTACATCTCACCCTCTATTTCAGCTGCAGGCAGAGGTGTGGAAAAATTTAAGGGAGTATAAACTAAAACCATAGAAGGAATCAAAGATTGAAAACAAAAAGAGAAGAAACTTAACATCATAAGGGAGAGATATTTAGTTAGCAAGGATGTTAATTTCTATTTAGTATAGACACGTACTTTAAGGTTTTGGCCTGTTTGAACACACTTTTGTTGACTGACAAAACTGTATCTACAAATAAATAGCTGCTATAAAATCTACAACATGTATAAACCACTTAAATTCCACTTGAGAGCTTGAACGCAGAAAAAACACGGAACCCAAATCACACATGACATCAAACATATAAACTCACATGCAATTTTAACTCCGAATCTTCCATAAAAAACTCAAAGAAGTCGGCCCAAAATCAATGGCAAACCTCTAAACTCCTTTAGGCTATGATTAAGATTTGAAACAGGGTTATCTTTCTCTTCTAGCATCCACTGCTACACAAACAGAATGTTTTTTTTTTAATTCCTAGACAAACCTCTAAACCCTCTACGCAAAGAGAAGAAACCTAAATAAAAAACAGAAGAAATAGAGAGAGGAGATCACTAACACCAAGCATAATCACCAAAGTATAAAAAAAAGGCATAATCAAATTTAAAGATACACGCATGGCTACTGAAATGCATTATCCAAAGCCTTTTAATTAAAATCTAGATATCCCACAAAGAGTTAAAAAGCGTAAATATAATTATAGGAAATATCTAGTTGTAGCCTTGTAGGAACCAATTAATTCACAGAGAAGGATCATAAGAATTGAAGAAATTAACAGGTTGACATGAGTAGTCAATATAGTCCCAAAAAGTAGAAGTATCCTTGTGAAGGCAATTCCATTAGTAAAGCAGTAAAAGAACATCATATAGAGGCAGGTTGGCTGAAATGAAGAACGACTGAAAGGACTTTAGATAGCGGTAGAAGCAAGCAATTGCATATGGAAATCTATAGACAGAAAGTAGAATAGATGGATTTTTCAATGCAGCAGGCTTTGATATGCAACTTCAAATCCCCCAATATAACTCGTTTGCTCAACAGGGAAACTATAACCATCAGCATTGCAAGTAAACTTGCATAGTAACCAAACTGATTGCTAGAAACATAAAAGAGTATCCAGTGAGGCCAAATAAACAACAAATCTATTAAGTGGCACTCAAATGTAACTCGGGCCATTCAGTTCAGCATTCTTATATCACCAGCTGAAACCAAAACAAAGCAAACCAAAATTTTAAAGCAATTTAGTTGCTGACTTAACCTCTCCCACTGATTTTAAGAGAGTTAAGGATCCTGGTGTACTCTTCTAATCTTCCTTCCCATCAAACCCCAAACTCAGCTCTCATGTGGCAGTAGGATTCAAGTAAGGATTAAACCAACCACACATAGAGAGATCCTATGTAGACAGGAGAAACTAGCTAATATGAAGTAAAAAATAAATGAATTTATAAACGACGTAAACCCGACTGAACTTAACATTCAACGTAACCTAACATTCATGTGTGTACTGTGAGATGGAAACAAAGATTACAGAGACCATACTGAAACACAACATACAACATCATGGTCTGCCTTTAATGAAAAGAATTGCAAAAAGAACAAATAATTAGTTGAACACAACTCAAGCTGGTTCACAAAGAATCTTACCATTAATGAGATCTAGAATTCTGGAAATAGACGAAGCAAACCAAATGGAAAAATGATGCACCTACTCTTAATAACTCCTCGATGTTCCTATCATTTTGTTCTCCACTTGATGATACTGCAGTCTCTGAGCCTAATTCTCACTTACCTTTGCCAATCTCCTTCAGATCATGTTTCTGGGAGGCAACTGCAATGAGACTGAAGTCATGAGTAAGAAAAAGAATGAGATCATACAATGCAATTTATAGAAAGTAACTGTCTGCAGAGTCCGCTTCCAAACCAAAACAAAGTGAGATAGCTTCTATTGTTTCTATCCCTTTTAGAAGATACTTAGGGATGACTTATCTAAGAACATATACACCTAAACTAAAATGGCAGCTGAAACCAGTAGCAAGAACCACTCAAGTGCTCTCCGTGGTCACTATGTATCTCCAAAGGTGGATTACAGGCTGGTTCATTAGTCATAGAGTTAAATGGACACAATAACCAAAAACTAAATCCACAATGTTGTCACTATTAAAGGACTCACCGAGGAGAAGGCTTCCTTCACTTGAGCAATTCCTATACTGTACTAATTCTTTGATGGCAATTCCAACTGACCAAGTCCAGGAATCCACAACCCATCTCCCTGGTTCAATTTCTTTACCTTCTTCAATGAGTCCATGAGAAAAACAGCCCCGTCAAGAAAATATTCTAAGTCAACGAATTCGATAACATAATATATTACTCGGAACTAAAATGCAAGGAACAACCAGCCTGTAGATGAGAAAACTGCTCCAGCACTTTTATCCTCTCATTATATAAAGCTTTTAACACCACCAACCAAGAGGAGCTTGTTCCTGGGGAGCACAAATGTCATCAATATGAGAATCTCTAAAGAACAAAACTTTGACCACTCAAAGACAAAGATGGCAAATAAACAAACAGCAGGAAACAACCTAGAGATCTTTGAGATCAAGTTCCATTTCATCAACACCTTTTTTGTTTCTCTCCATCCCTTTAACTACATTAGTGACTCCATCTCTACCGGGTGCAGAACATAGACAGAAAAAGGGGAGTTCTAAGCGAAACAAACTCGGAGAAAGAAAGAGAGGAGCTTCTTCTCCCTTTCCTTCATTCGCAACATGAATTCTCTGAATCAATCTGGACAAAAAAAGAAATGAAAATTAGAGTTGTGGCCAACCAAATCAAACAAAAGTAGAGATTTGTACCCAAAACAAAGAACCATTATGTTTTTTAAAATAGATGATAACAACAAATATTTCAGCAACATATCCTCTATGGAGTTGTTTGACGGTTGGGTTTTAGTTTGCATTCCTGAACGACATCTAACGTCAGCAGCGTCAATGATGATAAACAGGTTCCATTGAACTCAGAATCCTAATCCAGAACTAACAAATACAAAGCCATTATAAGAAAAAAAATAATTGATTCACCATCGTGATCATCATAAGCTAGAGAGCATAAAGTATTAGCTAGAAAGCAACAAATAAACCCTAAAAACTAAGAATGAAAAGCAAAACAGAAATCAGAAACCGGCTTCACACCCATACCTGATTGAGATTCTCAAGTAATTTTACTTCTTGCTCCATCGCCTCCTGTTTCAGCATCACTTCCGTCACTGCCAGAACCACCAAAAGTTTATTCCAACCTAACCTCCTTCAACGCAAGGAAAACCTAGAACTATCCCCACCACCCGCAGGCCGCCGAAGACCACACCCTCTCCCCTCGCTGTTGTCTCCTCCAGCCTCGCTTAGAGTCCGTCGACTCACCTCCCACAACCAACTCCTCCTTCTTTCCCCTGTTGAAACCTCTCTCAGAAAAAGATCGCCATCGTCAGGAAAACTCACTCTATCCAGCCGTCTCTCCTTCCTCGACAAACTTGCCGATTCATCGCCGATGTCAGAGTTTTGGGCTCGCAGAGAGAGAAAGAAACAACGTAGAAGCTGGATCGTAGAGAGAGGGAGAGCACGATTGAGGTGGCCGGGCTTTGCATTCTTCCTCTTCTCTTCATCCTCTTCTTCTCCAGGTTCCTCTTCTTCTTCTCCCTTCTTCTTCTTCTGATGAGAGAAAAGGAGAGATGAACATTGATTGGTTGGTGGGAGGGAGGGGTTATGGGAGAGAGATGAAAAACAAGTGGATGAGAACAAATACAGGAGAGAGATGAGAACATAATTATGTTTTTGGTCCTTAAACTTTGATCAATTACAAAATAAGTACTTTTAGTGATGTGACTCTACCAAACAGTAAACTTGTAGTTTGTTCTTTTAAAGATAAAAATAAATATAATAATATTCCTGGATAGAATGGGCCTGGGTTCCTGTGCTTAAGCACAAATGCTTAAGCATATTGCTTAAGTCATTCTATTGGTTGATAGTGGATTAGGTAATTAATAAGTGGTTAGTAGTTAATAGGTAGTTGAGGATAAATAAGGTTATTATGCAAATATAATTGATATTAATAATTGATTATTCTCTTTCTCTCTCTTCACATAACTTTCTCCATAATCCTCTCTCTACTACAATTATGAGAAAATATGAAATTAATTTAATTATATTTTATTATTTAATAAAATTCAAAATTAATAATTTTTTGTCATTTAAAAATGGAAATTGAAAATTAAAAATCTGCTTTCTCACTTCGTGACAACATTTTGCAATGACATTATCAACGCTTATGAAATAAATCATTATTACTATACCTTATAATTATTAACAATTTCAACATACGTATCAATTCTTTACTATTATATTATTAAGAATTTGGGGTCAATTGTTATCAACGTTTATGAGCTCCCAAAATGTTTTTATTAATTATTTATTTGACGTGTTTGGAGATTATATTTAACATTGTCAATTTTTCATTAATTAGTAACGTCATGTCATGTGTGCACATATATTTTTCATTATCAAATGTTTAATAATCGTTATTATCAAATTTTACATGACTTGTTAATAAAACACTTTATGACATTATTAGTTTTGAACTTTAGTAACCTTTAATAAGAACACACTAAATCATTGATAACGACTATATTTAGTTGAAAATAAATATTTGTGTATTCAATAAAAACATAATGTTTTGGTTTTTGATGTTTTCGTTATCAATAAATTTTTGTTACATTATTAACGGTTTGTTTCATCTCTATCAACCTAGGAGCTTATGTTTTCCAATTTGGACATCGGGTTTATAAACTTCTTGATAAAGTGTACTATTTGTTTTTATTGTAGTTATCAACGTTTATGAAAAAATGTCAAACAATTACACCATCAACTTTTATTGGTTCATTATAATCAATCCAAGGTACTGTTATCAACTTTTTTGCAATTAATTTTCAACGATATACAAAAACATTATCATCGTCTCCGAAATCATTTTTTGTTGTTTGTTAATGGGTTTAGGCTCGTTGTTAACAATCTAATGTAATGTTATCATTGTTGATGCAATGTAAATTGTTATTAACGTAATAAAATATTTAAGGTTATAATCATTATAGCCGAACATTATAAAATTTTTAGTGAATTATTAATAAAATATAGTTACATTATCTATGTTTAATATATCATGATATCATATGTTGCTTGTTAATGTATCGTGATATCATGTAGTTGTTACAACTTACAATTTCACTTTCACGTTAAAAACGTTAAGCAACTCCCACCAAAATGTTGTTAAAGTATATCATAACTAATAGTATTAAAATCATTAAAAATCGACCTAAACCATTTATAATTTTCAATTTCAGTGAAATTTTTGGGATGAGAACGTCACGTTTACGTTAAAAACGTTAACAACGTGAAAGTATATCATTACTAATAGTTTCAAAACGTTCAACAGTTAACCTAAAATATTTGCAATTTTGTCATGTACTGTTAATAGTGAACACTGTCGACGTTTGATGTATCATGATATCAGTTGTTGTTTGTTTGTCGAAACGAGTGAGGCGTCTTTGAGAGCCCATTACTAATAGTATCAATAATGATAATGTTGTGAATCAATGATATTGTGAATCATTAGTAAAGATGTTGTAATCAATGATTCATTCATAAACGTTGGTGATGAAAATTTACAACGGTAACGATTGATTCAAAATTGTTAATAATATTATTGTAAAGAGTTGATACTTATATCGTTAATAATGATAAGGTATAATAATAATGATTTATTTCATAAACGTTGATAATGCCATTGTGAATCATTAGTAAAGATGTTGTAATCAATGATTCATTCATAAACATTGATGATGGAAATTTACAACGGTAACGATTGATTCAAAATTGTTAATAATATAATTGTAAAGAGTTGATACTTATATTGAAATCGTTAATAATGATAAGGTATAATAAAAATGATTTATTTCATAAACGTTGATAATGTCATTGCAAAACGTTAATACTACATTGCAAGTTGTCACGAAATGAGAGAGAATATTTTTAATTTTTAATTTCTAAGAGAAAAAATTATTAAGTTTGAATTTTATTAAATATTAAATATTAAAATCTAATTAAATTAATTTCGAATTTTTTTTAATTGCATTGGAGAGAGAGGATTATGGAGAAAGTTATGGGAGGAGAGAGAAAGAGAATAATTAATATTAATTATATTTGCATAATATCCTTATTTATCTTCAACTACCTATTAACTACTTACCCCCTTATTAACTACCTAATCCACTATCAACCAATAAAATGACTTAAACAAAATGCTTAAACGTATAGGCTTAAGCACCGGATCCTACCCGGATAGAATGACGGGCACCCATAAAAATACGCATCAACCAAAATGTGCATAAGAGAAATCGGGCAAGAGTATCATGCCTTGAAATTTTGAAGCTGGACAGATTAGGCAGGGTCTGCTTCTCAGAGTTAAGTGTGGTAACAGGTATGATCCTTTGAACTCGGAATTGATCTCGTAGCCGGTAAGGAGGACTTCATACTTCTCGAGATGTTCAACTTGGTTATCTTATCAACAGAGCTGCCCTTTCTACAGCAAAGCAGAAATCATCTGAGTTCCAAAGCAGCAAAATTCCAAATCACAACAGGATTTAGTCCTAGAATATACAAGTCAATAGCCTCACCTAGTATTATCAGGATCCTTCATGTTGCTTACACTTCTAAGAATGACAGGTTCCCCTTTATCTACCACTTTATCAGCAAGTATTGGATAATCATTTAGCACGCTAATCTCTTGTACTCCATGATCCTTGCAAAAACTGTTTCATTCACAAAAAAAGAAAGAGCTTGAACAGAGTACGAAACTACTTTAAATTTCAGCATTACTAACCTGTTGGTAGCTGTACTTTGAACATTCTTCATACCAACTAGTAAAGGAGGTGGTGCACCTTTTCTCATCTCAGAAAAACGTGGCTTCAGTTGACTACCCGAGTTTCGGCCAGTTTGAACATCGCTAGAACAAAATGTCTCTAAATGAGTTGAAAAGACAAAACCAAAAGGAAGCTGTTAAAAGCAGTGACAGTAAAAAGCACTACTTACAGTTTCAGTGAAGCAGTTGGTGCACCTTTCCTCAAATTGGAAGAAAGTGAACTTAGTTGACAACCCCAGTTTTGTCTAGTTTGAAAAGAATTGAAGTTCTCTCTATTAGAAAACAAAACAACAATAAAAAGTAAGCTGAACAAAGTAGTAAACTGTAAAGCACTACTTACGGTTTCACGCTTCCGAGATGGTTCAACTGCTTGCTAGCCAATTCAGAACTCCCAAACAAGGAGAAATGGAGACTAGGTGAAGCAAGAGGAGGCCTAACATCACCAGATTTTCTACAGAAATTGGACTGGATAAGTCTCATGCCTTGTTTCTTTGTAATTCAGTTCTTATCCGTTTCTGGTTCACTGCATTAAGCAACAAAAAAAGAAACAGTAAAGATTTATGAAAAGCATCAACAATCAGCTGAGAGAGCCATCCACATCTCACACATTCAGTGTCCTCTCTGATGCTTCATAGAGTTGTTTTGGAAATTTATGAGCAATCATATAATAATGCGGAAAATACTAAAATTTGTAAGAACTTTTACTTTTCAGTTGGCAAGTCTGTAGAGCTTGACTTCTGGTTGTCCTCATTCTTTTATACATGAAAGGTGGGTACGCTTTATTGGTCTAACTTTGCTACTACTGTTTCATTCTTTGGCGTTTAGTGCCAAGCGGTCTAATACTTCCCCTCAAAATGGTTGGAGGAGCTTCCTGTACACAGCTCCTCACCGACATGACGTTCCTGCCCACCTTGACCCAAGGAGACGTTCTTCCACTGCGCACGCCATCGCCCATGCCTCCTCTGCACAACTGGTCACACGCCACCTCCATGTTGCAGCAACTACTCCACTGTGCTTTCGAGAAAAAGTGTCTTCTTCATCACAATCAACAAGAAAAGGTAAGAAAAAAATCTTTCTACCTCTCTCTCGCTCAGTCGACGAAGAAGAAGAGTGAAGAAGAAATCTCTCTCATGGTTTAATCCATATTTATTGGCGAAGAGGGGGCTCCATTGTCCACATAGCTGGAAAACGAGGGATCAGAATGATCTTCACTCCGCAACCACCATGATAGGCTGGCAATGGAAGAGCCTGCGTCCGAGGAGGGTTTTGGAGAAAGGCGGCAGTGGTAGGGAAAGGTGGAGAGCATCGATTTTGCTTCTAGAACCTCTGTTCATTTGGGTCTCAAAGAGGCATATGACCGGTCTCAAAGATTAATGTGAATCCCCTCCTTCTGATTCTGATTTATGGGTAAGCATTTCGTATCCTTTTATTCTTTTCTCCATAGTTACTTTACCAATTCCAGATTTCTATACCTAAGAAATTCTGAGTTTACCCAGCCTTTGACCAGTTCCAGCTTGCACAGGCTTGCTACTGTTGATCGTATGTTGTAGTTCTTATTTTTTTTAAGATCTATCAGCTGTGAAGTTTGGATTGTTAATAAGTAGGGTTGCATATATATGGTGTTTTTAGCTGATGGAATTTTATTAGTTGGCTTCTTTGTTGTCAGGCTACTTCAGGGGGTAGTTTATGCTGGATTTGCACTTTTTATTTTCAAGTTTGGAAGGAATGGCCATTTGATACATACTGCATACAAGAATTGTTTTGACCTTTTATGTTTCACTTTTTCCATTCCATATGTGTCACTAGAGTTGTATATTTATGTTGGATTTCTATTTAATCATCACCTTTGTTGTGAAGTTTGTCTTCATGATGTCTTTTTTCCTTACTGCAGGTACCATGTTCTGTGTTCATGGCTGAAATAAGTACTTATTCTCGGTTGACAGTTCTCATAGTGGTGTATAATGCTTGAACTTGGACCTGGAATTACTCACAACAGGTAAACTTTTTATGACCACATGTATCTCGCTATCAACTGTTGTCAATCATCCTTCCTAACCTTTTCATTAACACTGAAGCTATGTTCGGAGCAACTTCTCTAATCACATAGAGGGATATATAGAAGGATATAGGATCGACGCTAGAAGGTATTTCATATTTTACGGTTCCCATTTTGGTTTGGTCCAATTTACTTTTGGGGTTTTCGTACCTTTCGCTGATGTTAACCTTGGGAATGCATAGGAAACCCATTTATAACTGCGGAATCAGTTTCTGAAATCTCGATGGTCATATTGATGCTTAAGTTTCAAGCCTGCATTCTTTTCCCTCTTTGTAATCCAGGTTTAACTATTGAGTTTCGTCTTGACTGTCCCACGTATATGAATGTTGGGGAACATGACAAGGCCGTTTGCATTGTTTTTATCCTTGGGGAAAAGAAAAGTATTGTCTGATTCTGTTACTTACAATGTCTTGATAAGTGGGTGTTGCAAGATGACAAAATTCAACCAAGCTATAGAGTTTTTTGGGAAAATGATGGATTCAAAATTGTGATGGACAAAGGTGGCTTATACATCTGTGATTTCTGCCTACAACAAGTCCTTTAATAATGGTACAGAGTCCATCCATTGTTGATTTCCCATTTGCTCATTTCAGTGCTTTGCCCTCTACTGTAAGTTTCTGTCAGTTCTTTATCCTCATTTCTTGCTATGATGTTAAGTGGTGGGAAGATGCTTTACTCACTATGATGGAAGAGGAACATGGTTAAGGAGTTAGTTTCAGAGACTTGGTCTTATATTCAACGAGGTCACTCCAGTTCCTCTTAATTTTCATCCTCATCATTGTGCTCCCCGTTTTGGTTTCCTGATGTTGCTCACGGCTTTTTTATGGGTTGTGCTTTGTGCTTCTTGCTTTATAACTCCAGTGCATGTATTTGGTTCTAGAAGCAACAACAGTACGCTGCAACAACACACACGAGTCGCAGTACCTTCAACACTTGCTGGTGGTCTTATGTGTTACTCCAGATCCACAAAATTATCTTCTTCCTGCTCATACTTTGTTCATTTGCTTATTTTATTCTCCGGTGTGCTTCCATAAATTAGTCGCAATTTTCCTTTGCATTGTTATGCACGATGTTGGTCTGAATTGATATTAGCTGAAGTCAAGCTTCAGGCCACTTCAAGTTGCTGCAGAATCAGAAAGTGCCATTTCCAAAATAGATGTTGCAACTTTGCTTTCTTCATCATTCTAGAGGAAGGGGTTTCAATTCTTATGCTGTCAATTCTGGATTGAATTTTGCCTATTGTATAACTATTCCTGGCATCTGCAGTTTGAAGGTATTTTGTTTGAATGGGTTTCTAGGCAGGTTTTCCATGCCAAACTTCATGTTACATTTGAGTTCATTCATACTCGGAGATGCTTAGTAGACTCTTCTTTTATTGAGGCGCTTGCTTTACGTTCTCTTATTTTTTGCAAGAAACATGCTGATTTTGCATTCAAAGAGTCCAAAAGGATACTTCAGAAATAAATTTCAGACCAGAAGAACAATCCAAAGAAAGAAGTGAAGGAGAAGAAATCCATGGTAGAATTTGCAGACCTGAGTTGGAAAGTAGGCAGAAGATTGTAAGTTTCTTAGTTTTTTTAGCAGAACTTATAATACTTACTTTCTCTTTATCATTTCTAACATTTTCGTTATATGTATACTGTTTTTACCGATACCAAATACAACTATATCTCCCGCGGCGTAGCCGTGGGCATTGATTCTAGTAATCTCTAACAGTTGCCACTGGCTCAGTCTCTTAATACCCTCTGCAGTGCTCTCGGGAATAATCTCTGTTTTGAAATCTTAATTTCTTGACCTCCTGGCCATTAGTATTCAAAGGAGTTAATTTGCTGAGTTGTTTTTGGTTCTCATTGATTGATTTTAAAACATTAAGAGTGTGCTCTGCATCTGACTTTACAGTCACTCTCGAACCCAAGTAATCAGCCTCCGACGGTACATCTGACTGGGATAGAATCGCTCCCACCAAGGGATTGTGATGCCGTGGACTGCAAACCATACTTAGCATATTGGTCATTGGGCATGCCTTCATCTTGGGATGGGTTACATTGATCCATGGGATGGGAGTATAAACATCTGAGGATGAGCCCTGTTGATTTGTTGCTTCAGTTCTAACACCAACTGTTTCTTCTGATGAGCTTTCTGCTGCATGCTCAACGAAAGTTCCTACTGTACTATCATCTCGAGGAATTTCAATTCCTTCAGGAGCTACAGCAGTCTTCACCGCATGATTGATAATTTTCTCTGATGCTGCCGAGTCCTCTGTCTGACTGCTTTCAGATCCATCATGACGTTCACAGCCAGCCCCAATTTTATCAGTGTGCTTTGTTGCGGGAGCGTTACCATCTACCTTGATTATGTCTTCATCGAGGTTGAATCTGTCGAACCCGACTTGTAATAAAGAAATGAGAGTTAGGTAAGAAATTGGAGAATTTATACCCTCCATCAACACAACACATTCCTAGAGAATAAGGTAGCCATATAAATCTTAAAGAGAAATTGTAAACATACCCGTCAAAATCAAAAGAGATGTCAAAGGTGTCTAATTTTCCTTTCTGCTGTCCACTAGAGGATCCTCTATCCACTTTTTGCTTCGATTTAAAAACATGTTCGGGGCTTGAGAAATCAAGGTCTGGCATGTCCATCTTGAAGGATTGTAACTTGGCAAAATCTCCATCCATATTAAAATCGATGTCCCTGGGAAAATAACAATGGTATTCATACATACCCACAACAATAATGAGCTCCAGCATTCACCAGTTTTAAGTGGAACAAAAGTTAACAAGCATATTTTCGCTTTACTCATTTTTTTTACAGTTGAGCAACTCGCATATATAATGGCCAAAATTCAGGTCGAATCAAGCAAGAGAGTATCTTTCTAAGAAAGATATAGATACAATCAATATCTGATCCCTAGCTAATCCAACTTAGAAGTATCCATCAATCATAAGACGATTTGCAATAAAACCCCGAAACTGCATCAGAAAGAGACTGCCATGAATATGTTTTAAATCGATTTCCAGGCTTTAGTTAGAAAGACAGTAAAAAGCTCTCATACTTGCCCTGAATTACAAGTTCCCAAAGTTGAATGCCTTCGTTTTATATCCCCTTTTGGAACTGTTTCAATGTTGAAATCCATAGTGTCATCCACTGCCATCTTCGTCCATGAGCCAAGGAAATAATTTCCAATTTCATCATCTAGTTCAGCAAATAGTCGAACATTAGAAGATATACTTCCAACTGTGTAATTATAAAAGCATAATTGTCGAATATAGATACTACAGTAAACATTTGCTGCCAAATTACGACTGAACTGAACTCCGGAGATCTCAATAACGAGAAAATAGACCACGTAGCAGATTGCAGAAGTTTTTCATTCATAGTGTTGCTATCCTAATCAGTAATCATCGGACTCAAATATGGAGATTCAATATATTTCCTCATCGTAACTTCATGTTTTGTATCTTCCAAGACCGTTCTAGAGGATTCACAGAAAAGGCACCATTAAGGCCAGGGCGGACCCAGGGATGATTGGGGGTGTCCCCGGACACCCCTAAAATCTCGGAGAAAATTTATCGAACCCCCGGTAGTAGTTTGAGCGTAGGAAAAAAAAATATATAGTGGCTTATGGGATTTGAACCTGGGACACCCTAGTTATTAGCTAACATGTTTTCCATCACACTACATCTCATTTCTTGGTATAATTTGAAGATACGGATAGTTATAAACATGTTAATTTTATCCATAATTTGACAACAAAACCCTAAAACTAAACACGACTCCTCCCATTCTTCTTCGCAAAATCAACTCTGCGGCTGCTACCACTTCAATGTCGCGCCGCTAAGCCACCTCGCCCTCCTCCGCCGCCTCGCCCTCCTCCGCTGGCCTCGCCGTCATCCGCCGGCCTCGCCCTCCTTCGCTGGCCTCGCCGTCATCCGCCGGCCTCGCCCTGCGTCGACCTCGTCCTTGTTCGTCGGTCTCCTCTGTCCGTTGAGAGTTCTCCTCCATTTCAGCCGTTGGCCGCTGCAACTTCTCCTTCGGTAAGCTTGAACTTGCTGCCAAAATTCATGGATGATCATGGAATTAAGAACTAGTGGGAGAGTGAGAGTAGACATGTTTTTGCTGAGCGATGTGAGCAAGCCTTGAAATTAAGAACTAGTGGCAGAGTAGACAAGCTTTACAATCTCGCTCAGAAGCTTTTACAAGTTTGCCTGACCAAAGTAAAACATTAGGAATTGAAGAGAACATAACTGTCCCCTGCTTTTCGACATATAAGTATACAACATTGATGATTCATGGTTTGACAAAGACAGTAGCAATACAAGTATACAAAGATTAAGATCGCATTTTCAATTGTTAATTCCAATTGTTAAGCAGCAGTTTTACAATGGGGAAGCATAACTTTGGGTGGGGAATTCCAATCTGATTTGGGAAGCATAACTTTTGGGTGGGGAAAGTAGCGGTTTTTACAGTGGAATTTCAATTCTAATTTTATGTACATTCTATGCTAGATCAGGTACCAATGGAAAGATACTACTCAAGACAAGTCCAATCTACTCCTAATGTTCAAACTGAAGGTGTTGAAGCTAGTGGGAGTAGACAAGCTCAAACCTTTCCTCCTTCGTCGACAGTGGGAGCTCCTCAAATACAAGAACCAAATCTTTCAGGTTCAGTCAATCGAACTCCAGAAGAAAGTGAGTCTTTCTCAGCAGAATCAGATGGAGGGTTTGATGAAAACTCTTTGGTGCTAGATCCGGCATTAAGAACTAAGATATCTAGCTTTCATCCCAATGTCCGTGACCAAGTTAGAAGATTTTTTCTTCAAAAAGGTCCTATTCAACCAAAGAGTCATGCTTTTCCTGCCAGAAACTTCAGTGGAAGGCAGCGTAAATTCCAGGCTTCTTGGTTCAAGAAGTATAATTGGCTTGATTATAGTGTCTCAAAAGATGCTGCTTATTGTCTATATTGCTATGTGTTCAGTAAGCGAGGTGGGAGTAATGATGGCTTTATTGGTGAAGGATTTAGAATATGGAATAAATTGAAAGCTTTTGATGATCATGTTGGGGAGCATAACAGCTACCACAATAGAGCTAAAAACAGTTCAGATCTTTTATTGAAGCAAGCAAGAGGAATTGAAGCTGCATTATTTAGACAATCAGATCAAGCCAAAAGAGATTATCGAATTCGTTTGGTTGCTTCACTTGATTGCATAAGGTGGCTAGTAGTGAATGGATTATCATTTCGAGGGCATGATGAATCTGCAACTTCAAGTAACAGAGGTAACTTTCTTCAGCTATTAGATTTCCATGCTCTTGGTAGAGAAGATGTGCAAAGAGTGGTTGGGAGGAATGCTCCAAAGAATCTCCAACTCACCTCTCCAAAGATTCAAAGAGATCTTATTCATGCCATGGCTTGTGAAACGACTAAGAAAATCATTGCAGAGATTGGGTATAATTTTTTCTGCATATTGGTTGATGAGACTCGTGATATATCAATGAAAGAGCAGATGGCTATTGTTTTGCGTTATGTGAATTCTGATGGTGGCGCTCCAGTAGCATGGAACCAACATTAAAGCGCCACTAAAACCTATTTCCTCCGATAAACAGTGGCGACAAACTTACAGAGAAGGACTTCTTCTCTTTGCCGCCAGCTTCCTTCTTCTGTTCCGCCATCTGAAAAGAAAGATAACAGAATAGACTATGGTTGGTAAATGCACGTGTCACGCTCTGGACCAGAGAAGCACTCGGCAGTAGAATTCGGTAGAAGAAAGGGAAAGTAGAAGAAGAGAAGAGAGAGAGAGAGATAGAAGTGAGAGAGGGAAAAGTTTTTATTGATCTCAGATGACCGTTAGGTTGTTACAGGATAGAGTTATATACACTTGCCAAATATTCCATTTAGTCCCTATACTTCTGTCAACTCTACTAACATCTTTTATTCTTTACATTCAAGTCCCACGTGTTACAACTCCCTCCTCCTTCAGAGCTGATTTGGCCTCAAGTCTGGAATTCTGGAAATTTTTGTTTGATCTCATCCAAAAACTCCCAAGTAGCATCCTCCTCAACTTGATGTGTCCATTGCACAAGTATCTGTGTAGCTGCTGCATTTCTTCTAACTACAACCCTTCTGGCGAGAATCAAAGTTGGCTCCACCTTCAATCCTCCATTATCATCTATCTCGGGAAGAGCATGCTGCGTGTGATACTGGTGGCCACGAGCACGCTTCAAGAGAGACACATGAAACACTGGATGTATAACAGACCCTTGTGGCAGTTTCAAATCGATATGCCACACTTCCAACCTTTCTTTCAATTTCAAAGGGACCATAAAACTTCGGAGATAGCTTCTGATTCAAACCTGGTAACCACAGAAGACTGCATGTAAGGCCTGAGCTTCAGATACACTCGCTCCCCCACTTGAAATGAACGCTCAGTTCTATGAGCATTTGCCATCTACTTCTGGCGATTCTGAGCCTTGGCCAAGTTTTGCTCGCAACACTCCAATGAGCTTATGTTGTTGCTGAAGTCTATCTGACACAGCTGCTACAGCAGTAGAGAGGGGATTGGTGAGAGAAAATTGGGAAGGAGCATAGCCATATAAGGCTTCAAAGGGGGTACCCTGCAGATTGGAATGGTAGTCTGTGTTGTACCACCACTCAGCCAAAGTCAACCATCCAGCCCACTGCTGAGGGTTATGATGCACCATACCACGCAAATATTCCTCCAAACAACGATTCACCCTCTCAGTTTGGCCATCTGACTAAGGGTGATAGGCAGTAGAGTAATGCAACTTGACCCCTTGAAGCTGGAACAAGGTTGACCAGAAGGTGCTGGTAAACAGGGAATCCCTATCAGACACAATGGACTGTGGTAACCCATGTAATTTGAAGATGCCATCAAAGAAAACTTGGGCCACTGAGACAGCAGTATAGGGCTTGGCCAAACAGAAGAAGTGGCTGTATTTGGAGAACCTGTCAACCACCACAAACACCACCTCCTTACCTTGTGACTTAGGCAGTCCCTCAATAAAGTCCATGGAAATGTGTTTCCAAGCCTGATTAGGAATAGAAAGGGGTTGCAGCAAACCAGGGTAGGGAACATTCTCAGTCTTACACCTCTGACATATATCACAAGCTTGAACATACTCCTTCAAATCTTTCTTCAATCCAGGCCACCAAAAGTACCTCTTCAACCTCTGATAGTTGGCTTGTAATCCAGAATGTCCTCCCACAGGTGAGTCATGAAATAACTGCATGAGCTGCTTCCTCATATCACCCCCTGTGCCCACATATAAAGCAGCCTTATGGTACAAAAGACCTTGCTTCACTGAGTAGAGTTTTGGACCAACCATAGGGACTGATGCCTCCATCACAAGTGCCTGCACCACAGAATCCCCCTCATAAGTGCTTTCAATCTCAGCAAGCCAGGCAGGTAAGTGGTTGAAATGGCCTGACAAGACCCTTGATCAGTAAAGTTGGGATACCTGGACAGGGCATCGGCCACTTTATTGAGTCTACCTTGTCTATACTAGATCTCAAAGTCCAAACCCAGCAGCCTAACCCCTTTTTCTATATCTGGGTATGAATCTTCTGACCTAGCATATGCTTTAAACTTTCATAGGTGGAGAGACCCTGCTTCCTTGGTCCCAGAGCTTGGCTGTGATATGCCAGTGGTTTACCTCTTTGAGACAACACAGCTCCAATGCCTATATCACTGGCATCAGTTTCCAGCACAAAAGGTTGGCTGAAATCTGGCAAGGCCAGTACTGGCGCCTGCACCATAGCTGCTTTCAGTACCTCAAAAGCCCCCTGAGCTGATGCAGACCACTTGAACTGTCCCTCTTCAGTAAATCAGTTAAAGGCTTAGCCAAAATGCTATAATTTTTTACAAACTTCCTGTAATATCCAGTTAGACCCAAAAAACCCCCTGAGTGCCTTGATATTCTTAGGAACTGGCCAGGACACCATAGCTTCTACCTTACCAGGATCAGTAGAAAACACCTTCCTGGTTGATAATGTGACCAAGATAGTCTACTTGAGTCTGACCAAAGGAACATTTGGAGGGTTTAGCATACAGGTATGAGCTCTGAGGATGCCCAATGTGATAGCCAGGTGCTCCTTGTGACTGTCTTGATCAGGACTGTACACCAAAATGTCATCAAAGAAAACCAGTATAAACTTCCTCAAGTGTGGAGCAAAGATCTGATTCATGAGAGCTTGGAAGGTTGCTGGGGAATTTGTCGATCCAAAGAGCATTACCCCTGAATTCATAGTGGCCTTGATGAGTTCTAAAGGCTGTCTTGTGTTGGTCTTGAGGGTGCATTCTGATCTGGTGGTAGCCTGACAATAAAATCCAGTTTGGTGAAGAATTTGGACCCTCTTAACTCATCCAATAGATCATCAATGACTGGAATTGGGAACTTGTCTTTAATAGTGAGAGAGTTCAGCTGCTTGTAATCCACACAGAACCTCCATGATCCATCTTTCTTGAGTACCAACAAAACAGGTGATGCATAAGGACTTCTACTATCCTGTATATACTGAGAATCCATCATTTCCTTCACTAAGCGATCCATTTCATTCTTCTGTGGTATTGAATAGCGGTAGGGTCTAAGATTCACAGGTTGAGCATTTGGGAGTAGGGGAATAGTATGGTCACAGGGTCTAGGTGTGGTAGTGACTTAGGCTTCCCAAACACATCACTAAATTCATTCACTACAGGTTCCAAGAACTCAGGAACCTTACCTGCATTGGCAGTCTCCACAGAAATGCTGACAGGTGCCCCACCAGTGTAGTTGTGGTCTTCTTAATCATCTTTTGTTGAGTCTTCCCCCCGATATGCACTGAGCCATATCCTGCACTCCCTGCAATGACACTTCCTGTCCTTCCCAGTCAAAGAACAACTGAAGGTTGATGAAATCAAATTTGACTGGACTAATAGTTTTTAACCAGTCCAAACCCAATACCACATCATTAGTTCCCAGACTCAGGATCCTCATATCACATGTGAGCTTGTGGTCCTGCATTTCCCAGCAAAAGTCTTTACAAACCATACTGCTCAACAGAATTATTCCATCAGCCAGCTTAACCCTCAGAGGAGATTCTGCCTGCACCATCTTGCACTTGAGATCCATGGCCTTCTTTTCACTCAAGAAGGTATGTGTGCTGCCAGTATCGATGAGCACATATATTCTTTCCTTCTTGACCTTACCCTTCACAATCAATGAATTGGATAGACCTCCACTACTTAGAGCCTGCATTGATACTTCCACAATCTCAGGTTGCTGATATTCCCCTAGAACCTCATCCATGTCCTCATCATCCATTACACTCCAGTCTTCTGGTGCTACTATCTCCCCATCTTCTGCCTGCATCATATTTAGCTACTTCTTAGTGTCACACACATGACCAAAATAGTATTTATCCCCGCATTTGTAACAAGCTCCTTTGGCATAGTTCGGTTTGTTACTAGTAGATGCCTGAGCTTTTCCTAAATTGTGAGGCCGACTGCTAGGCCCTTCCCATTTCCGAGCATTAGGATTGATTCCTTGCACCACTGGTGGAACTGAACGCATGCCATTGCCCATTCCCAGACGCCATTTCCTTCGCTTAGCTTCATTTGCTGTCTCCTCCAACTGTGCCAGTTGGAACGCATGGGCTAAAGTCACTGGCTGCCACATCTTGATCACCGGCCTGAGTTCTTCCTCTAGTCCACTGACGAAGCTAGAGATGAAATACTGCTCCCCCAAAGCTGGATTATACCGTACCATTTGTGACTTCAGCTCCTCGAATTTCTCTTGATAGTCAGCCAACGAACCACTTTGACGAAGCTTATTGAACTCCTCTACAATACCTCCAAATTCTCGATCACCAAATCTGCCACACAAATCCCTCACAAATTCTTCCCAAATCCAATCCCTATGCTCGATTTTCCATCCCTCAAACCAGATATCTGGACGACGATCAAAGTAAATGGAAGCCATTCGTACTTTCTGCTCATCAATAGCATAAATGTCGAACAACTTCTCACACTTCCGAATCCAATCCCTAGGATTATCACCTCTAAACCGAGGAAAATCGATGCGAGGCAACTGAATCTGATCATTACCTCATGGTTGACCTAAAACGTGACCCTGCTCTGCATCCAGATTGTTCTGAGCAAAGCCTCGCTGCTGTGGTGGTGGAACGGCTACTGGCCGTAGAATTGGCAGAGGCAAGAGACCCCGGCCGTCATGACGAGCTAGTTGCTGATCGGCGGCGACCTCCGGCCGAACTTGAAGAACCTCCAATCGACGAATGATCTCCTGGATATTCTGATCCATTTGAGCAAATCGAGCGACCGAACGATCCTCCATACCATCCAAACGAGTGTTAATCACGGCAAACTGTTGCGAATGACCTTCAGATCTCGCCATCAACTCCTGCAATTGAGTCGATTGAGCTCGATTCTGATCTTCCAGCGTTGTGATCTGATTGTTGAAGGCGGATTCTGCTTCAATAGTCCGAGTGGAAAATGCGCTCAAGCGATCGTCGAGCTGGCGCACCGTCGTAGCCATGGCCGAGAGATGGCTCTGATACCAACTTGTCACGCTCTGGACCGGAGAAGCTCTCGGCAGTAGAATTCGGTAGAAGAAAGGGAAAGTAGAAGAAGAAAGAGAGAGAGAGAGAGATAGAAGTGAGAGAGGGAAAAGTTGTTATTGATCTCAGATGACCGTTAGGTTGTTACAGGATAGAGTTATATACACTTGCCAAATATCCCATTTAGTCCCTATACTTCTGTCAACTCTACTAACATCTTTTATTCTTTACATTCAAGTCCCACGTGTTACAGCACGAAACAGAAACGAAGTGAGAAGAAAATTGTCTTCAGAAAGAACTGCAAACCTAACCGACAAACTCTAGATATGAGAGAGGGAGATCGATCAATGAGTTTCACATAGATCCAGAGTATGAACGACATCGGACTCTCGGCGCTGAGACGAAATTGCACAATTCGATGAAGAAACCTAACCTGAGTGGCCTATCGGCAGAAAATATGAGAGAGAAATCGGATCAACGACATTCGGATGTATCAATAGGATGAACGACGGAGACGATGCGGAGATTAGAAAAAGACAAATTGCACAATTTCAGAGTTGTGGGTAGAAGCGACGATTTGATTTGAGCGGAATGTTTGCTGTAACGCAGCCATTCGAATCTGCCTAAAATATATAGTAGATGGCTTGGGCCTTGGGACGTATCCTCCGTTTTGGAGGGCTGAGATCACGTGATTAAGGGGTTCCTTAATCACATGGCTAAGTGAATCTCAGCCACTCAACCTCATTAAAATCCAAAGGCTCCTATTAATCCAATTTAATGAAGGGCAATGTAGTAATTCTATGTTTATTTTTAACTTTTAATTATAAAAGAAATTAAAAAAAATAAGTAAGCGCCGCCGCCGTTTCAGCCGGTCCTTTTCGCTGTCTCCGGCCTCCCCGTCCGGTTAATTGCGCCGTCTCCGACAGGGGAATTCCTGGGCGTCATTATTCCATTCCCCAAAAAAGGATTCTTGGTCGCCATTATTCCATTCCCGAGAGAGAGAGAGAGAGATTTTATGGTCGGAAATTTTTTTTCCGGCGACCATCGTCGACGGAGAAGAATTTCCCGGCGACAGTGCTGATTTTGTGATGTTTGTTGACATATTTTGTAATGTTTGTACGCTTTTGTTATTTTGTACTGTTTGTCGTTTTTTTTTTTGTAATGTTCGTAAACTTTGTTATTTTTGTGCACCATGTTTATCATTTTTGTCAACTTTGTTTTTTCTTTTTGTATGGTTTGTATTGTTTGTCAGTCTAGTTTGTATTGTTTGTACAGTTCATAATTTTGTAATGTTTGTAAATCTGTTTGTATGTTTTGTCGATCTAGTTTGTACTGTTCGTATGTTTGTATGGTTTGTACTGATTGTAAATCCGGTTTGTATACTTCGTAATTTTCCATAATACTCAAACTACCCCTGTCATTAATTAAATAGCTCTTCCCACTTTTAACCATTGGATTGAAGTGTTCAGATCTAATGGCTAGGAGGGGCTTAGTCAAGTGACTAAGGACCCCCCCTTAGTCATGGGATCCGCTCTCGTTTTGGAGACTCCGGATAATAAGGTAAATTTTTCTAAATTATCTTATTCAAACTCCACTTGTCTCTTTTTTTCCTATGGGGAGGAACACCCTTCACGTTTACCATCTTCAGTGATGTCGTAGTTGGGCCTAATCCCGGAACCTTCGCCAGTAGTCTGGGCAAATGTGTGGTTCCTCCGCAAACACCATGAAGGCAGTGAGGATCGAACTTAGTATCTTTCGGTTACAAGTCCATCCAGGGGCGTAGCTAGAAGTTAATAAGGGGGTCCATGGCACCCCCTTAAATTTGGAGAAAAGCATAAAATATTATTGATATTAGTTTGTTAATAGTGAAATTTAAATCCTAAATCTCAATGCAAATCGTCAAATTTGATTCCATTCTCCATTCAAGACCAGTTCAACCACTGTTAAGTTCTCTGCTAAACCACAACAAACTATATAAACTAATTTCATCTGCTAATTTCAATATTAATACATGTATATCAAGACGGATAAGAGATGCATATTATTAGAGGACATCATTAAATATTTTTTTATGACAATAGTTGGATGAGAAAATTAGTTCCATCAATGTATTTGCTGGTGAAAATAAATTTGATTTGCTACTACAATTTGTTAATGCACAACTTGGAAACATTTTATGCAATGAAACGATTGACCGGTCTTCGCATCTAGTGAACATAACTTGTGAATGCCTGAATGGTTATTTGGTGGGATACATTAATCTTGATAGTTTGAACGATTTATATGGTTATAGAATAATTTCAAAATATAAGACATGAACCCGCATATGTAAATTTTTTATGGCACCCCCTTGAATAAAATCCTGGCTACGCCACTGAGTCCATCTCGCTTACCATCAGACTATGTGACCCATAGATAGTACTAGTACTTGCATGGTACATTCAACAGATAGATATTTAGTTATAACCATGGTCCATGAAATCGTACCGTACCGGCGGTTCAACCACGAAATACCAGTAACGGAGGTTAAATCGGTAGGCGTTATTTAACGGTCTAATAGTTGAACTACGGTTAAACCACGGTTTTATCATAAAATATCATACCGCTGATTTTTCCGGTACGGTTTCATGGACCATGGTTATAACATTAAATGGACCTAATACATTATGATATCAACAAAGATACAATAATTTTTTACGAATTCAACACATTGAAATCTAAAATATAAGTTAATCTATAAGAAAATGTACAATATTATACAAATCAAACATTTATGACACATTTATTAAGCAATAAATAACTAACATAATTTTGTTAAAAGGAAGAATTTAGAAGGGAATAACTATGACCTAATTTTATAAAATTGTATACTAGGAAAGAAAAAGTTAGTCTAATCTTTGTGAGTGGCTTGCCAAGTTCGTTTCATGCATACTGGCTCATAATGGTCTACGACATCGTGCTCCGCCGGTGATGACCCTCTCCGTTGTGGAGCCTATCAATGTTACTCCATGGTGGAGTCTTCCTTTCTCTTATCATATTGCTTGGCTGTCGAGGATGTCTGAATGGAAGCCCCAATATCCTTTTGGATTGCCTATTTGTTTTCTTGTTTTGCAGGTTACTTCTGACTATTGATGGAGCTTTATGGCTTTCTAAGGAAAGGTTGCGGCTTCAGTAGGCATTCCGAGTACACTGCTCATCTAGGCTTTTCGACTGAGTCGTTTGGAGGGCCGATGAATGTCATGCTTGGCAACTTTAGTGGCCGGTTGGATAATCATTGACGAGGAAGCGTTTTGCTTGAGGTTATAAGAGCAAGGATTTTGGCATAGGTTTTTTCAATATTTATCGATATTCAGTCGTCTGCGGCTATGTGGTTGTTCATTTTGTAGGTACAGCTGCTCATAGGGATGCCCATTTTGTGGCATAACAAGCCATTTCATCGGCAGTTCGACTATTTGTCGATTACCGCGCGGTGTAATTTTTTGTTCTTTGACTCTGTATTGGTCAGGGATTTACCTGACTACTGTCTATGTTAAAAAAAAATTAGAAGGGAAAAGTTAAATGAGAATTGGAGGGAAAGAAATTAAAATTTGGTTCACGTGATGATTATTCAATTACGTTTCAACTCTTTTTTTTTTCGTCATTGAACCTTCTTTTCGTTGACAAGTTACAATTTGATCTCTCTGTTTTTTATATATGAAGAAATACAAGTGGTGGGGCAAACATGAGTATGAGACGAGGAGGTTAAAACTCTACTCATCTCATTCCCGGGTAAAATACCTCGGATACCACGTAACTTTGAATAGGGCATCGGGTACCATTAAAGTCGTCAAAATGTGCATCTGTCCAGTTTTCCATCCAATCCAAAATTTTAATTACTTTTTGATACCAAAAACTTTAAAAAAACATCCAAAACTGTATTTCAACAAGTATTAACTAATATAAAAATTAGAAAACCTTCTAAATGTAATATTACTAGAATGGCTAATGCAATTTTTCAATAAAATAAATAAATTAGTAAAAACAATAAACGAATATAATAAGGAGTAATAAATGTTCTAAAGATAATAAAAAAATTAAAATTAATATTAGTATATATTTAAACCCCTAATACAATTACAACCCCTATAAATAGTTAAAATAGAACTTAATTGACCATCAAGACAAAAAAAAAAGATAAATGGAAGGTAATCAGAAATAATTAAACATATTCCTGTAATTGAAAAAAAAAATTGAACGAGAAGATTCAAAAAGTAACCAAGTAATAAGTAAACTATAAAAGCTACAATATACATTAATTTAAAAAAGAATACAACTATAGGAAGAGAATTAGAATTAGTATATTAACTAATATGGAACATTTATAATATAATATTAGAGAATTACAAGGAAATTTAACATGAAAAATTCGACAACATCATCATGATGTAAGAGAACTAAATATAACATCTTTGGATTATTTATATTGAGACAGAATACGAGGGATATATTTGTTTCAGAAAAAAAAAATCAATTATGAGAACACATATGATTGAAAATACTTATAACAATGGTTGATTCTAAATTTTCTATTAAAAAATTGGTTTGGTATTAGAGTCTTAGAAAGAGGATTCCAACCAAACAATAAAAAATTAAGTTTTTCATAAGTCCAAATGATTTTTTACAATAAGAAAAGTAGAATGATCAATTTTGAAATTTAGAAAACGGAATATTCCAAGAATATTCTGTCAATTTTAACGGAATGCTCTTAACAGTAAACCTAAGTGGTACCGGATGCACATTTGATAGAGTTTAGTGGTACCCGACACCCTATTCAAAGTTAAGTGGTATGTCTACCCCAATTCGCAAAGTTAAGTGGTATTCAAAGTATTTTACCCTCTCATTCCCATTAAACTTTTTATTGGTTTTACTTTTATCTATATTCTTCTCATATCTAGTCAATACAAGAGTTCTCTATGCTGATTGGATTGAGAACGATCTGATACTTGTAGTTACAATTGTCATCCCTACCTAACACATTGCATTGGTTGGACAACCAGAAAGAAAGAAAGAAGAGAAGAGAAGAGAAGCTTACGGTTGTGGGCTTGTGGCCAAGGCAAGCTCCACGTTAACATATTTACGTAAAACTACCCTCTTATCACCTACCACTACATAAGACCCGTTCTACTCCAATTAGGGATGGCAATCAAACCCATGGCCGCGGGTACCCGACCGCCCCATACCCAGTCAACGCGGGGAATCCCCGCTTTGACCGGGTATAGGGCGGGTATGGGTAAAACCCGCAAAAGGTTTGATGGGTATGGGGCGGGTATGGTTTTAGCTTCCCCCGCCCCATACCCATACCCATACCCGCCCCACCAAGAGAATTTCTTCACATATCAAAAAATACGTGGATTAATTGTAATCTATCAATGATGATAATGATAACTCGAGAAAATAAATAGTAGAAATGCAATTGAGTAACCACCTTAATCAAAACCTAATTCATTTCCCTCAATTCTCCTTCCACTCTTTCACTTTCCCCCTTGTCAACAAAATTATGTTAGTTAATTATTACTTAGTAAATGTACAAAGAGTTAGAGCATAATAATTTAAAAAATTATAGTCTATATTATGTATTAATGGATGTTTTAGGATCATATTCTTTGAATCATATTTAGAAAATGACCGTGTTTTGTTGACTTCGTGATATAATAGGTTTGTTTATGGTTATAATTAAAACTTTTCTTGTAAGTTTTAGGTATAATAATGTTGGATGTACGGGGATGGGTATTACCCATGGGTACCCGAAACCCACGGGTATGAGGATGGGTTTGCAAAACATTCCCCCGCATGGGTATGGGGCGGGTGTGAGTTTGGGTATTTGAAGATGGGGATGGGGATGGTTTAGGCAAACCCGCCCCAAACCCGCCCCATTGCCATCCCTAACTCCAATACCCTTATACAACTACCAAAGAAAAGAAGATTATAACGCAAAAAACAGCTAATTCTGTTAGCACAGCCGCGACTGCTGAATAAACAAAAAAAATGGAAGTTAAGATCATAGAGACCATCCCAATCCGCCCTTCCCAACACCCTTTCTCACAAGACCATTCCCTCCCTCTCTCCCGCCTCGACACCGATCCCAATCTCGACGTCACCATTCGCTACGTTCGGGTTTACGTCAACAACACCAGCACCACCACCACCAACCACCACCGCCAAAACTCACCCGTTCGACGTCATCGCCGATGCGCTCTCCCGAGCTCTTGTCCACTATTACCCACTCGCCGCCGGCCTCCGCTCCCGCAATGGCCGGCTCGAGGTATTCTGCTCGCGGGACCAACTAGGCCTGCCTTTAACCAACGCCACGGTCAGTGCGACGCTGGCTTCCGTCAACTACCTGGATGAACCGGGTTCAGAGTTCACGGACCGGTTGGCACCCAACCCAAGCCCGGACGAGAGGCTGGTCCATCCGTTTATGCTTCAGGTCACGACATTTGAGTGCGGCGGTTTCGCCCTGGGAGCCGCGGTGAACCACGCATTGTGTGACGGGATGGGTGCCACCATGTTTTTCAATGCTGCCGCCGAGCTGGCTCGTGGGGCGGACAAGATCTCGGTTGAGCCGGTCTGGGATCGGGAGGGTGTTTTTCGACCGCGTGACCCGCCCCGGGTTGAAGAATGGGTTGGTGAGGTTTTGGGCCGGAAGGAAGGAATGGTCGGACCGGGCGGGGATGGAGATGGGGTGGCTGGTGGGAAGGTGGTTAGGAGTTACTGTTTTGATGTCAGAGACGAGTGGGTGGAGGGATTCAAGAATGCTTTGGTTCAGAAGTGTGGCTCCAAGTTCACCACGTTTGAGGCCTTAGGAGCATTCATATGGCGGGCCAAGTAAGTTGGTTAATGAGCATTTTGTTAGGTGCACATTTTCCACGCTTGATAAGTACTCTTGTAAAAATCATGGTCCATTAAACCGTACCGTACCGACGATTCAACCATGAAATACCAGTATCGGAGGCTAAATCGATAGGCGGTATTTAGCGATCTAACGGTTGAAATATAATTAAATCACGATTTTATCATAAAATATCATATTGCTGACTTTTCCGGTACGATATCCGGTACGGTTTCATGGACCATGGTAAAAATACATGGGGTAGGAACTACATCCATCTTGTTAGGGTTCTTGTTAGTTCAAGCTCTTGCATAAACCATGACGGTTTAGGGTGCTAGTTGGAAAGTTAGAATGGTTAGTATTTCGATCTTCGGAAACAAGATTGATAATGATAATGATCTTCCATATTCTACTTGGACTCCTACATTCGATCTTTTTTTTTTAGTATGAAAGGAATCTATAAAGAGGTAAGAATGTCCTTCAGAATCTACACTTTGTGAAAAAATTAGTATAGTGTAAGAATGAATGTATATGATGTGTACAGAAAAAAATATGCAGAGAAAAATGGGTTAGAGAGACGTTATATATCGTAATGTTGGGAAGGAAGAAGATATTCTTAGTTAATTAGTTGGTTTAACCACAATAGCTTTCATTACCATGCTAATGATCACTAATACAACTCAGCCAATATTAAGATAAGCATATTATTTAATATTATCAACTATATTTATTTATACGTATGTGGTTACGAGTTTATATTCACATCAACTGATATGAACTATTACACTCTACGTACGTACGTACGTAGCATTGGAACTACTCCCAAGATACTAACAAGGTAAGGTAACTATCTAGAGACAGTGGCGTAGCCAGGATTTTGGGTAAGGGGGTGCCAATTTAAAAAATTAAAATGACTATCAATATTTTATAGTGACCCACGACGGGTTCTCATATTTTGAAAAGTCTGTAAAATACATTCATCATCAAGACTATCAAGAAGCTCGCTTGTTAGGGTTAAATTTCGTTTACTTCTTGAATAAGCATATGTAATTATGAGGTTTTTTAATTTAATTTACTTATTATTTGTAAACAGTAAATTATATATATGCAATAAAACGTATTAGTTTATCATGTAAGTAATTGTGGTTTAGTGGAAGATGTCAAAGCTAATAGTAAGAGGGTTCCACGTTCAAATCTTAGCTATAGCATAAACTAATATCCCTATTTTTTGATGTTTTAGCCCGATCCAAGGGTGTGCCACGGCACACCCTTTTAATACTGTGTCTCCGCCCCTGTCTAGAGATTAATTTTAAGGGTTAAGACTTAATTTTAAGGGTTAAGACTTTTGCATGTATCACTTGATATCAATAATTGTAGCTGCATTTTTTTGTTAAGTGTAGTTATACCTGCATGTATTTCAAGTCGTTAACTAAACAATGAGTTGATTTTGAGCGACTTAATAAACAGGGTGAAGGCCTCGGGAATCTCTGCCCACGAGTTTGTAAAATTCGTCTATGCCATCAACGTTCGCAAATTGGTGAAGCCACCGTTGCCGGCGGGCTACTGGGGAAACGGCTGCGTTCCGATGTGCGTCCAACTGCAAGCGAAGGACCTCCTTGAGCAGCCCATCTGGCGGACGGCGGAGCTGATCAAGCAGAGCAAGCGACACGTGGCCGCCCCAGACGGGTACGTGAGTTCCTTCATCGACTTCATCGAGCTACACGGCGGAGAAATTGTGACGGCGGCGAGCAGCTGCAGGGTGACCAGTGGGTTCACGGATTGGAGACACTTGGGCCAGATGGGCGTGGATTTCGGGTGGGGCAACCCGGTCACCGTTTTGCCGCTTTCGACGAGGAGGTTGTTGGGGAGCGACGAGCCTTGCTTTTTCTTGCCGCATTCTTCTGTCGGTGAAGGCAAGGGAGATGGTGGGTTTAAGGTGCTGGTGTTGCTAAGTGAGGCGGCCATGCCAGGGTTCAAGATCGAGATTGATAAATTTTGCAGCCAGGAATTTGGGCAACTTTAAAGGTGTTATGTCTTCACGCCTCAAGAACATCCAAAGCCTAAGAAACAGTAAGCAAGAGGACTAACATCATCTTGTTAATGAGGGTTGATTTCTGAGGGATATATGAATTCCTCGTAATTAGTATTTTTGTTATTTGCCTTTATTCTTACTAGAGAATTAGCCCGTGCTACGCAACGGGATTTGATTCGTAATTCGTTTACTCTGTTGTTAATGTTGAATAATATAATTTGATCATGTGTGTGTTTATTTTAATGTTGTAAAAATCGATATTCATAGTGTTCGTGGTTTATTGGAAAAATATTACAATGAAATATAATGAAATTTCACAAAAAAAAAAAGAAAAAAGAAATGACAATGGTCTTGGCATGCCGATAACTTGGTTGACATTATCATTTGTAGCGTATTGAAGTTCCTTTAGTGGAGAGCTCACCGATAGTTGTTGTGGTGCATCCGATATAGTGATCTGGAAAACCAAAAGGAAGTGCAACTTGATTAGAACCCAACATTAATCTAATATCACGCTAATCATAAAAAAATCTTATATCGTCGATAGTCTTAATGACCTACTTTGTACCAGTATAAATTTTTGCTGTATTCGATTATGTACCTCTATAAATGTTTGTTCTATTTGGTTTTATTCCATCATTAGACAATTGTAACTTAGAAAAGGTTGGCTTCAATGCACGTTGTTCTTGGCATGGTTAACACATTGATAATGTTTATGAAAAAATTCTAGTGATAAATTATAAATCAAGCTTGAGTTGCTAACCCATTTATAATTATACGTCTTGTGGTTTTGGCGTATATATTATTTGACTATCAGTAATGTTCGGCAAAATTTGGTTACCTGTGAAAGAGTATGAAAGGAGTCCCTTCTTATATATCCTGGTTCCTGAACTGCTCACTATCCGAGTCCATGTCATCTGTATCAACTATAAGCACATTCATCAGTGAATGAATGTAAGGGAGGATGAGAAATAATTATAGGCTATTTAAACTTATTTACCTGTGTGTGATGTCGCCGACGGACCTCAGCCAGCCACAACATCTGTTCATTAGGAAATAAAAGTATCAATATAACACATATTGTTTGAGAGATCTTAAGTACGGTTTATATTACCTGTCAATAGTGTCTTAGTTCCTACACGTTCTCGCAAAGACTCAAAGTCGCAGAACTCGAAGCGGTCTGAAATAAAATCTGTAGCAGAGGTAGTAACATCTTCAAATTCGGTTGCCGGGACAATGGAGAGACATAGGTTGTTTTTGCATGGTTTGTAGGATTCTTTGGCTGGCCGTGATATGAATTCATTTATACCATATACGGATCCAACAGTGAGCTTGGACTCCGAATGGCCAGCAAAAGTACGATCGCTAAGGCCATGGATCAACATGCCCTGTAAAGAGACAAAGTCAGGAAGGTAGATAACTGTTGAACATACGATTAGAAGGGAAAGTGAAAGGTACTTTACCGTCTCGTCAACCCATAGGGTACTGTAGTCGTACACATAGCCAGGATTGGCTGGATTTGTCGAATGCCATGAGTGGAGGAGACGGAGCTTCAGTACTCCCTTTTTGTCGCCGATAGTGAGTTCCTGTAGGAGTTTCGGAGGACATATTGCAGAGCGGAAGCAAGCGCAATGATAGAGTTAATGTGAGAAATAATGAAGCAATGCCTGATGTTGATCTAGGACGGTCAATTTATAGGAGTTTATTTATTATTAGAATTGGAGACAAACTATTTTTCTGCCTTAATAGGGACAAATTAATTCGGAGCGGAACTGGAGAGTTTTTCACTTACTCGGAATAATTAGCACAAAAGTAGAAGTCTAATTGTATTCTAATTAAAATATTCCTTATTAGCTTCCCTGCATACAAATTTTCACTTCTTTGTACGGTTAGAGTTTTTCTTGCTAATTAGTCCCATTTTTCGAGTAAAAGAAGAATTCCTGCTGATCAATTACATTGAAAGTAAACTTCATGACAATTGATAATAACGTGAGCAAAACAGAAATTCTTGATAATAGTTTTTTTAATTAAAAACCATTCACGATTAGAACTATTACACCAGTATACTAAGCTACAATCATAACCCTTATAGAACCAAAGAGGATCATCTCTTAATGTTGACGCAGAACATAAAGCTTAGATCAGTTCATATACAAATTTAAAGCAATTCATAATGTCCCCATGGAAATTTGATTTTATACGAAGCTTAGACGTGGTTTTCTCTAAGCTGAAATAAACCCACCTTTTATCAATGTTCATAACTAAAAATTGAAGAAGAAAAACTTACTGAAGTATGACAGTCTTGGGTTCTTGTTCTACTTCATCACATCTGTATCACTCTAAGGTGTGACATCTTCCTTCAATGGTTGTACTGAAACTCCTGATCAAAACATAATTCATCATATTAGACATTATTCTCTTTTGAACTTAATTTCATTACATGATAAAATGAAAACTCAATGTACAAAAATCAAAGAACTGCTCTTCATGCTACTTCAGTAGTCCTTAGCACCCTATTTGTTTCGCATCATCCTATAAGCTAACTACAATGCAGCCTGAACTTAAACACATTTTATTCATAAACATTCCATTTCAATCATACCTGCAAGTATACAATATCATTCAATTGAGTCCCTCCACCTTAATCAGCTTGAACTTCCTGCCCAAAGCCATAACCTTATAATCAGATATTTTATTGAACTCGCTGATGTTCAGTCGATTAACATGATCGCTCAGGCTATCCAAAGTCGTGATTACCTTATAATCAGATCTCTTAATGTACTTGCTGGTGTTCAGTCGATTAACATAATCGCTCAGGCTATCCAAAGTTGTGATTATAGTTTCTGGCGCTATTTTCATCACTACTACTGCAACAACTGCATAAACCCAAATCTGTTTGTCAATTCCCTACTTGCCAGATACGAAGATACCCAATTTCGTCTCTTGAAGAATATCATTTTAGCAGAGGAGTAGAGTGGTAGATAATGAGAAGCATTTACCAAGTTATTGACTCGCCGAAATCCAGTGATTCGATTTGTTATGGCGGGACAAATCTGAGTGACGAAACGTTGTCGCATATGGGTTCTGAAGAGGCGTTGTGGCCTGTGGGTTTTGATCTGGCGCTATTTTCATCACTACTACTGCAACAACTGCATAAACCCAAATCTGTTTGTCAATTCCCTACTTGCCAGATACGAAGATACCCAATTTCGTCTCTTGAAGAATATCATTTTAGCAGAGGAGTAGAGTGGTAGATAATGAGAAGCATTTACCAAGTTATTGACTCGCCGAAATCCAGTGATTCGATTTGTTATGGCGGGACAAATCCGAGTGACGAAACGTTGTCGCATATGGGTTCTGAAGAGGCGTTGTGGCCTGTGGGTTTTGAAGAGGCTCCGTGTTGGGACTTTCCGCCGCCTGCCGGAGCAAGGTTTCCCGGCGCCGTTGAATGCAATTAGGTGTAACGACTGTGGGTTCTGAAGAGGCTCCTCCGCCGCCACCTGCCGGAGCAAGGATCTCCGACACCATTGGGTAAGGACTGTGGGTTCTAAAGAGGCTCCTTCGCCGCCACCTACCAGGGCGAGGCTCTCCAACGTCGTTGAATGAGATTAGGGGTCGGGGTCGCCGCCGCCTGCCGGAGCGAGGTTCCCCGGCACTGTTGAATGAGATTAGGGATTGGGGTGGGTTTTGGTATACGGGAGAGGGGAAATGCAGAGAGCTTTGCGCAGCCATCCTTTTCTATTTTTTTTATTTCTTTTTCTTTTAGAATGTAGGCGCTGCCGCTTCTATTTCTTTGGAGGATGTAATCAGGTGCTGCCGTTCCTATGTGAGCCCGTGAACAGTACGGCGATAATTTCGTTTTTGGGACTTGGGACTTAATAGTTCTAATTAGTCGGTTCATACCCAAATCCCTCTCAGTTTTTTGGGTTGTGGAGTATAAAAAGAACTTATAAGTTATATCTATGTTAGTAGCACTCGGTCCGGCCCGTTGGCCGGGAAAGTTTGGTACTTATAAATATGTTATCTATTGAAGACACATAAACTATGTGTTTAGTATAGTAGTTATGCACGAATATATAATTGTGTTTAGAGGTAGTTTCATGAATATATAATGTGATAAATTTGCCTACTTTATAGAGTATACGCACATACCACCAGCATCATTTATGTCATGATCTACTTTACCTTTTAGGAAATGAAACAAATACAATATTATATATAGGAATTGCTTCCTTGAGGTGGCAACTCATATGTGTTACAAATTCTAATAGTTCTTGCGAAATGTGTGTTGGATCATGTCTAGGACGCAATTTCACTATTCATTGTTTGCAACACAAAGAAAACACAGGATTGGTATGACTCCTAATATGCAAAGTGCTTTCTTGTAGCCACATTACTACTGCATAGTATTCAAAGAAGCATGAAGGTTCATCCAAGCTGAAAAGTTCCATAGACAAAAAGCCTACAAACAAATTATGCACATGAGAAAAAAGATGGGGCATGGGATGCTGAACCAAGGAGAAACATATGTAACAGAGTGAGCACAAACTACGATGACGAAATTAACAACGTGCTTCTGCACAAACAAATAGAACGTAGATTGTGTGACCGTTTTGCAAGATAACCCCACATTAGAATGTGAACGGGTATTTGCCGCCAACTAAAAAAATCAATTTTTGAATTCAAATTTTCGAATTTTCCCTTCCTTTCATTCTATAAATTTGAATTCCAATAATATTTGACTGATTCCAACCAAAACCTATGTCGTCGAGCCCAGTGCCTCCTTCGCAGGCACCGTTCCTCCGTCGCCGGCCAACTTCTCGTCGTCCTCAACCGTCGGAAAACAGGTAAGTTTAATTTTCCGACAACTTTTCCAGTTTTCCGACGAGAATGACGGCGGGCCGAAAAAATTTTGCGGCCGGTGCGCCGCCGGTCCGAAATATTTTTCCGGCCAGGCGTGGAGCCGGCTGAAAAACTCTATCTGCACGGCGCCTCATCGGCCGCATCCCTGTCTGCCTTCGAAACCCGGGGGCAAGAAAGTCGGAGAGTGGTGGTCTGCTGCTGACTGTCAGCGTCATGGGACTCCCAAAGTCTGCCTCGGGGAGCGAGTCGTTCGTCAGTGGTGGCGACAATCGATCCGTGTCCGACCGTGATATTTCCGGTTGTCCTCCGCCTGAAGAACGACGGTGGTGGGATGCAATCCGGCGAGTCTGGCCCAGCTCGCAGCGCCGCGGTATAGAGTCCCGAAGCTTCGATTGAAAGTCCTCTTCTTCGGTTTTCTTCATGGGTCGCACAGTTGTGGATGAAGTGGCCGATCTTGCCGCAGAAGTAGCAAAGATCGGTTACTTTTTCAAATTTGAAACCTACCCAAACCGATGCCTCCCCCAGCGGGTATTCAAAACCAGTGGGTATCGCTTTCTGCAGATCCACCTCCACCATTGCTCTGACGAATCTTCTCCAACCTCTGGTCTCAAGACCCGATCTATCGACCTTGTGAAACTGGGGGAAGATAAAGGATGAAATTGCCTGGATTGTTGTAGCTTCTCTGAGAGGTTGGGGCAGATTGTGAAATTGGACCCACAGCGCCATTGTGGGTATCTCCATCTCTTGCGGAGTGACAACTCCGTCCCACTTCTTCAGGGCTATAAGAGAATTGTTGATGTTCCAGGGTCTGGTGTCCCAGACTGCATCTCTCGCCTTTTCAGAGGTGAAGGAGTACACATAGAGGTTCTTGGCCTCCCTTTCAGCTTCAATTTCCCCGAACTCCTTCCATCTCGCCTGTGCAGCACTCTTAGCTTTTGGAGGTGGGATTGGGATTTCAGTCAGCCATTTCCCCAGGAGCATGGCCATCCCTCTGCCTCTACCTCCCACTACTTGAGGTTGGATGTTCAGCACGAGGTGGCCTTTCTCGGTGGTCTCACTCACTTGGCTGGCCTCCATGATTCTCCAATGCACAGCTGGTAAGAAGAGGTAGTGTTTGCGGTGTTTGGTACTGGGGGATGGTATTTCTTCTTTACTGTACGTGATTTTTCTTCTTCCCCATTTGCTTCCTTTTATAGCTCTTGTTGGAGTGTTGTTGAGCTGGTGTTTATCCTTCTCTTTATGGCATCCATCAAATCCTGCCCTCTTTTGCCGCTTCTGCAGGTGCTCCAGTTTCCTGATCTGGGATTTTCCGGAGATTTTCTGCTTTCCCCTGGTTTGATTGGTGACCTGCAATCGCTTCTCATTAAGGAAGGCATCTCTTGTAGCCTTCTTAAGAGGGCGGATTCGTGTCTTTCCTGGACTAGGCCGGCTGCTGATGCAACCTTCTGATGCATTTTCCCGGGATATGCGTCTTCTTAAAGGCCTGGATTTTTCTTGATCATAGTGAGGCAGCCCTCTGATCTCCTTCTTAACTGCTGCTTGGTGGTTGCTGCTGTATCTCTTAGTGCTAGGAGATTTGTTGGTAAGCCTTCTTAAAAGCCTGAGTTTACCTCGATCAGGAGGAGATTTCCATCTTCCTGCTGCAATAAACACCTCATCCCTGTAGCTCGAAAGACAGCGGGGTTGCTCTGCAGAGGGATTTTTTAAGCAGGTCTTCTTTCTTTTCAGTTGTAGAAACTGGTTCCGATGTGCTAAGCTCCTTCCTTGTTGTTGTTTGAGCGTTCCAAAAAAGGTAGCAGGGAAATAGATTAGTTCCAGAATGGAACTATCTAGTTGGGAGCTTTTTGGTTTCCGAAGCATGGTCTCCGCGTTTATTTTTCACTGTTGAGAAGGAATATAGAAATGACATCCTACCATGTTGATAATGATGGGTAGTAGATATGATTATATCATGGTAATATGAACTGTTTCATGTTTAATGAGATATTGTTGGAGCAGCAAGAAAAGAAAGCATAATTGGAAGACCAAGAAAGAAAGGAACCTCTGTGTATCTCTTCAATAATTTCTTCCTCTGCTCATGGGTGACAGGATGAAGAATTTTCAAAGATGCGGCATTTTGTTGTGCTTGTGTGATTTTGGAAAAGCCTTTCAAGGTTTTGTTAGGCGCATTTGGGTGATGTCCTTTTACATCCACTAGCAAGGAAACCCGCGCTCTGCGGCGGGGAGTTCGTATTGGAAAAATGTGGAGTTTGCTTTGGAAATTGACATATTTGTGTGCCCATGAGTAGATTGAGTAGAGAACATTTGATTTAATAAAAAACATATGATTTGTACATGTAGAAACTTTGCACTGGAATTAAACATTAGGTACATAATATTATTTTGTATTGCAAAGCGGGTGTTGCCATACTAAAGCAGCAGTACATATTGGTTGCTGTCAAATTGATTAATTACTGTTTTGCATTGAATGTGATGTAAAAGAGTGTCATTTGGTGATGGTGGGGCAACTCAAAGTTATGTAAATGCTTGTTGAAAGTGGTGGAGATGTTGACATTGCCCCCTTAAAAATGCAGTATAAAAGTAGTGCTAATTAATGAGCCAGAAGAGTTAGAAAGCAGGATCACGTGTTATGCAAGTACCCACAAGAGTAGAGGCAATATGGTAGATAGGTGATAGCAAAAGTCTTGCATGTTAACATTTGTTTCCAGACTAATGAAGTAGAAGTTTTTTGTTCGGTAACATCTTAAGACACTTTTTTTTCACAGGTAGGGTATTTTTCATGGACACCGTTAATCTATGCTGGTAAGAATCCACTGGCGTGGATGATGATGCTGCTGGGTGGGTGATCCATGTCTGCGTTGCAGTTTGCTTGGGCTATTGTTGAAGCTGGTTGTGGCCGACTACAGAAAGGATAGTAAACTCCAAGGGGTCTGAGGCAAATATCCAGGCTTCGGGAGTTGAACGTCAAATGAAAACCAACGTCCATTCATGGCAAC